ATAAAGTACAGTGAATTACTTACATGTTTAAATTAAGCATTTGATTAAGTGTCTTTCCTGATCAGAGAGCTCAGTATCTTATTGAATTGACCTGTGGGTCTGAGTTACAGCTCATTTGCTTTGAAACCAGCTCAGGACAATGAACAGTGAGGAACAAAATGATTTTGTGCTTGCTTGCATCAGTTTAAAAATGGAGTAAATCCATTTAACCAACCAGAGCTGAATCGGACCAAAAGGTTCACTAAGGCTTCAAAAGTTTTATATACTTCTTTCAAATGACACTTTGTGTGAGTTTTAGTATGCTTTTGTATTGTCTGCTTGAAGTGGATTAAAATACTTGAAAAATTCCTTACCATTGTTAACAGAGGACACAAAATATGTATCAATCAGAAAAAGAAGCTAGTAGAGTCACTTTAATTTCTTGTTTGGAAGTTTTTATTCTAACTCTTGATGTTGCTTGATATCACTAAATAACACGTTGTGCACATTTTTCTTTCTCTTAATCAAGTTAAATGCCTGCTAATGACCACAGGGAATGAAATAGGACACAGCTGGTTATATCATGCATATGTGATTTCTGCTTAGCCACAATTTATGCAATTAGTTACAGTCATATTAAGCTATTTAAAAAACATATTAAGGATCTAATGATGAGCTGTCATTTATGGGTCATTATGGCATGCTTAAATCATTTTCAAAGAATATTTGAAAATACCAGTGATGTGCAAATAGGACACTTAGAGAAAACAATCATATATCAAAATATTACTGATTTTAAAGAAATACATATATTTACAAAAAGGACTATTTCTGATTATTTACTTTTTCAAAACATATACCAACAATACCATTTTTTTCATTACAAATTCAATTCTATAAAGCTGACAATGCATGGGGAAATTTTTATTGTTGCTATTCATGTTCCAAAGCTTAAATGCTACAAAGGAGAACTGGACTTCTGTATGGAATAAATATAAGCACTTATTCTGAGTTAGTCCCTCAACAGCTGTTTTTCTAGCAAATCTATGTGATTCTGCCTTTGGCCAACATGGAATCAACTGCAGGATTAAGGCCCAGAGCGTGCACTTCACAGAAATACATGCAGGAAGAGAGGCTGAGATTCAGACAGCCTCAGCTAGAGGCCAGTCCCTTGCGCCTGGCTGCTCCTGTTAGCTCTGTACCTGGGCAAGGCCAGAAGCTGTTAGCCATTGCAAGGTCTGGATCGGGAGACGCTGAACTCCAACTGCCAGTATCAAGGGGGTCTGTTGGGGATCACACATGATTACAGGCCTGCAAATATTTCTGTTTGACATCAGGAAAAAGTAATGTGAGGCAGAATGACAGGTAGTGAGGAAGAAGAGGAATTTTGTTTCCTCAATAGGCAATGTGTTACAGTCTAATAGCAAAGCTCTAGTTAAAACATGGAGGATGCCTGTTAAGGATAGACAACTCAGTTGGATGGGTAACATACCTCAGGGGATAAACCCACATAAAACATAACAAATACTGTCTCCTGTAACACTGTAAAGGATTTTCTTTACTTGCTGAGCTACAGGCTGTTTCAAATAGAACTGTTTCAGTTCTGTTCCTCAACTTTTGCTTCCTGGAGACTTTCAAAATTCAACTGGACAAAGCCCTGAGCAACCTACTGATGAAATTAGTCCTACTCTGATGGGAGACTGGACCAGGTAAGCTACTAAACTGCCAGACTCCCTCTAACCTGAATTATTTTTGAGATGCAGTTATAGCTTGAGATGCAGTACAAAGTCAACAGACATAATTATACTACAGGATGGGTTCACCACTAAAGTAAGAATGTTTCCTTCTTTGTTTTTTCTGGCCAACAAAACAATATATGTTAAAAGAAAGCATCAAAAAAAAAATCAGATTAATTTTAGTTCCAATCAGTTCAGAGAGCATATACGATTAGTGATCACAGCTAGACTACTGCTCTAAACTCCTCTCCTGGGCAAAGTTAGCAAGTACTCTTTAGAGTATCTAAGAAACAATTCCAAAATGTACAACCCTGAGTACTCCAACACTGCTGCATCCAAAATTCAGTGCTATTGATGAATATGATAAAACAGAAACTTCTAAATAAAAATAATATATCTCATATTAGTATTTTTACCATAAATGCTCACAGCAGTATGTGAGCAACAGAGCATAAAGATGTATTCATTAAGGTTTCAGTTTTGCAAACTATTAAATATTCTGTCCTGATCAGATAAAACACTTTGGTACATTACTACAGGACTACTTCACATGCATTTAAATGTAAGATCATCCTTAAGTAACTTGCAAAAATGAGATCTCATTCAACTGTTGTAAATTCATGTTGTTTGCACACATCAGGATTAATTCCATCTAAGTCAGTAACATAGCACTAATCTTAACAGAACGTAAGATCAAAACTCCCCTATTAAGAGAACAAAATATTTGCATTTGTATTACAAGCTCAAGCAGACTTTTTTTTCTGAGTGATTTTAAAAATTTATGATTTATAGCAAAGGTCTGGATACTTGTCAATTAAGAACTGGATTTGCCTGTCAAGTTTCAAGTTTTTCACTCACACACTAAAACACACCACCAAATTAGAACACAGCAATACTACTAATTATAATGATTGATACATAAAATATTTGTAACACCACAAGAGAAAGAAAATATAGAAAATGCTTCCAAATGATGTATACACTTGAAAGATTCTCAAGATTTGGGAAAAACAATTACAAAACTATGGTGACAAAGGAAAACATGAATAAAGATATTAAAATTATTTCTCACGCTATTGTTTTTCTACTAGCACCTAATTTCAACAGTAAACCAGGTTGCTGCTTTCTTCCTCAATAAACACACAATCTAATATCATAATGGTTCTGTAAATTATTACTTCTAATGTTCATTTCAGAAATTTGAAGCAAGCATTGTTAATTCTTTTACTTTCAAAAAAGAGGTCCGTCCTGCTATTTTTTCCATCTGTTAACATTTTTTCCTATGTTAATTGTCTCAGCTATTTATGGTCATTTTTATTTTAATCTGTATATACATCAATGAATTAATAGAAGTAATCATTACCCCAAATTAAGGATTCTTCCTTGCTAGCTTCATTTCCCAGTTAGGTATTCTTAAAAAAATGCTTTTTCTTGTTTTTTTTTTTTCCCCACTATTTCATAATTGTATTATTAATTTCAGATTTTATTTTCCTTTTTTTAATAGTCTAGGGCACTAAAAACTTAGACAAAAATTCTAAAAATTGTATATACATGAAGACTGCAGAAATTAATACCAGAAGTCAAGAAGAGCACAAGAGAATATGAAGTTCAGTAGACCTTTCAAATATTTGCATCTGTTTAAAATGTAAAAAGACCTTTAGAAATTTATATTTTGAAATGTTGAGCATCCCCACAATATGTTAAGTATAACATTTTTAAACAATTCTGCCTACGTTAATTATCCGTATCGTTTCTTTCTGTTATGCATATTTCATTAATACTTACATTGCTACTTACTATGACTGAACTTAGCAAGCCAACTGGAAACAAATACACTGAATCCAAGGTGAGCTCCCAGGGCTCCAACTAGTTCAGTGCAAATAAGACAAACACTTTGTCACTAACAGGAATAATACACTCCCTGCTACACAATATACTCCCAGCTCCTTTAGCAGGAGTCAGAAAAGGAAAAGTCCTTTTCTACATCTTCCTTTGGGTACCTGCTCCCTCAAATTTGAATGCCAGCCCATTAGGGAGGAACATCCTTTTCATGATATTGGCATATGGTAACACAAAAGCAGTTGTACCCAGGCACAGTCTGTTTCCAGAGTTGTAAAAAACTATTCAGACAAAAGACTTGGAAATAGTGTGATTCTTCATCCCACGCTCAGGCAAGCAGACACATCACATGCAAGAAGACTGTTTGTATGAGCAAACACTGCTCAGTAGTAACATAAATTGTAGACTTGGGCCCAAAATAATTCACTAGACTTATTGGATAACATTATAAATTGGATTATTACAGAAAGGCAATTAACACCATAAATACCAGAAGCCTGCAAAGACTTTACTTGGGAGTATGAAGTCTCATAAAACTCCCTCTCTGCCTAGCATTTTAGCTGTATTCAATATAACACTTTAAGTGCCCACTTTTTTCCCAGAAGGTAAACTGTAGTTCTAAAGGTATAAACACCTCCACGTGCTTGAATTAAAATATTTTTACAGCTCTCGAAACCTGATAATAACCTCCTCCCACACCAGAGTCCAACATCTAGGGTTCTGTTCCAAGTCCAGGTTTTGTTGCATGCTTGCTATGATTTTATTACTGCAATAAAGTGGGGGAAACAGAGGGAGAGGCAGCAACCAAGAGAAGGATGTCCAACGTGTAAGGATGTTGATTATGCCTCATGTACTCAGTATCTAGAACTGTGTCTGAGTTTTAAACACCTGATTATGAAATTCCCACAAAGTCCTTCAAGATAGTGCTGGTATTACATTATCAGAAAGATATTCCAATTAGCATACTTTAAATTAATCTCACAACATCTGGACAATTTATGGTCCACAAAAATGTATCGCTTATTCCAGCCTTCCTCACCCCCCATCCCCCCTGAAGGCCTCGTGAGTCATGTCACTGAGGAAAAGATGACTGGGGGCACTCTTTTATTGGTGTATATTTAAAAGAAATAGAAAACTGAGGCATGTAACACGAAGATCAGGTGGTGCACTGGAGCGGGACTCAGGAGAGAAACATTTTTGTCCTTGCCCGAGAGGCCGGGAGGAAACCCCCACACCTCTCCCTCATGTGGGGGGCTGTTGAGGGAGAACGGGGCCCATCCCCAGTCTCGCTAGCACCGCTAGGGCTGCACTAATTAATTCTGACAGGGATAATTAATTAATTAATTATTACAGAGCCCTCACTTAATTGCTGGGAGGAAGAGTTTACCTCCGACTCCGCTGAGTCCCCACAGCAGAGCTACCTCCTGAAAAGGCCTCCACACGGCCCAGGCTGCGCTTGGGTGCCGGGGCGCTCCGCGGAGGAGTGGCCTGGCTGAGGCTCCCGGAGAGGGAGGAAGAGGAGGTGGCGGAGGTGCCGCAGCGGCAGAGGAAGCAGGCGGTGACACCTCAGGTAGAGGCCGTGTGGGCTGCCCGCCCGCCCCACTGAGGCGAGGCGATCCCCGCCGCCCACGCCCGCCGAGCCAGTCCTGCCGCGTCAGGCGGCCGCGGCCCCGCAGGCTCCGCCCCGGCGGTGCTGCCCGGCTGGTTCCACAAGTTTTTGACAGCTTCTTAGCGACCGAGGGAGCAGCCGAGGCTGAGGTGGCGGCGCTGGGCTGGGGCGCTCTCCGGAGGACGAAGCTCTTCCTAGCGGCCGCCTCCTCGCCGGCAGCATGTCTCGGGACCCCGAGGAGGTGAACAAGCTGACGGAGAGCACTTACAAAGTGAGTTCGGGCCGGGGAGGGGGCTGCACGCCGCCGCCGCCTCGCCTGAGGAGACGGCGGCCACCTTTGCCCCCGCTGGCCGGCACCGGAGGCGGCTGAGGCGGGGGCCGCCGGCCGTCTCTCCACAGGCGAGGCCGGGGTGGGGGCTCAGGGCAGCCTCGGTTTCTCATGCAGAAAAGGAGCAAACTTTTTTCCTTCTTTTTATTTTTTTTTTCCCTCCCTTGTGAGCGATCTCGCCCGTCCCACCGCGTCAAAGACTGCTCGGTTCTCGCTTGTGAATAACCCGAGAGGGCTGGCGGGGGGGCAGCGGCAGCCCCGGCTCCCCTCGCCGCTCGGCGCGGCGCTGCCTGAGGTGGTTGGCGCCGCGGCGGCCCCGTCCCGCGGCCGGAGCGAGCCCCGGGAGGCGGCGGGGCTTGGCCGCGGCCCCGACCGCGCGGGTTGGGCCGCTTTACAGCTGGGCGCGACAGCGCCGGGACAAGGCAGGCTTTAAGACTGGTTTCTCCTTCTCTAGGAGGCTCAGTTCTCCAGCGAGCCATAATTCCCTCCGTGTGTTTTGATGATAAGGTGGGTTGGAGATCTGGGTGCTTGCGGTTCTCTGCTTGAACCGTTTCTTCATCCAGGCCAGAGCCTCAAAATGGCTTAACGCTGAATTAAGTTGCTTGCCTGTGTCCCAGCTGATAATCAGATTTATGATGATATATCCCAGCACTGCCTCAAAGTACTGACTGGTGAGGGTAGTCCAATTTATGTAGGTAGACTTTTAAACTTTACAAAATGCCTCGTTGCTTGTAGAATTAAAAATATTTTGCATATGGGCACTAGACACTTGTTTTGAACTTCTTCTCTCTTAGCCCTTCCAAAACACACCAATTCTATTTAAGGAAAATTTCCTTAAGAATCATACGTTTGGTTGAGTAGCAATGGTAGTGTTGGATCCATAATCTTCATTCTTTACAGTGTGTTGTACTAGGGAAATCACTTAAATTTGCGAAGGCATTTAATCATGCAAATGAATTTAGTTGCAATGCATTTGCAGCTTGGAGTCCAAAGGAAAGCTTTCTGGGGGATTGTTCTATTTTACTATTTACTAAATCTTACTGGCTTATTATTGAATGTTTTAATACTTACGAAGATGTTTTTATCATTTAAAGGTCTCTAGAAACATTTACTTGAGGATTTTGCTGTTAGTTTTGTTATTCTCCAACACGCTTTAGTCAACTTTACTCCTTCAAGTAGTCCAGTTATATTGGTGTCATGTTGTGTTTGTTGTTTATTTTCTTTGGACTTTAATATCAAATTAATGCAAAAGTACTGAAAAAGTGAGATGACTTGGCTATAAATTTTGTCCTCTAGAATCAGTGCAGGTCATCTGAACTGGTCTGGTGTTTTTTGATATCAGTTATGTTCACGGGAAGGCCATAAGCAAACATAAATTCCTCTCTCTCCGAAGAGCAGCCTGTGAATGCAGGCTCACAGAAGAGAAACCTGGGAAGTTGACTGTTCAGGGCTGTGCTGACAAAGGAATGTTGTACCCTGTCTATTGACTTCCAGAATGTAGCTAAAACAGTTTTACAGAGGAGAGGGAAGAATCTCTTGTGTTTTAATTGATATAATATAAAATGGGCTTTAAAGAAATGACAGACCCCTAAACAAAACCTCTCTTGTTACTCAGTATGTATTTCCTGGGGAAGTTTACTCTTTTGGTTTTTAAGCTAATTCACAGGGATAGTTAACACTGAAACAACTGGCAAAAAAACAGTAATACAAAGTTAATGTTGACAGTGTGATGAAATGTCTAAATGTCTCTGTGTGGGTATTTTGAGAGGTCTGATGTGTTGCATCACATAGCTAGTACTCACAGGCCTGGAAACCCTCTTGCCCTCATTAAAAATTGAAACCTTATCCAGATAAGGTATAAAGGCCGCTTCAGATAGCGAATGGATTCTGGGTCTGCTTTAAAGCAGTTATTTCTGTATCAAAGTTAAAATCTTGAAATGGTTCTTTATTTCTTAAGGGCAGAGAGCACTAGCCTGTATATTCAGCATTTGCTGTGACTGTAATCACAACTCCCTCATCTAAAACAAATGAACACCTCTTTGTGCTGTGCTTTAGTGTGCCCAGTGAGCATGGTCTCCTCTGTTTAATAATGCTCATGCAACTTCTACTCTTGCTGCATGCCATCCTAGTAATGCAGAACTTAAAACACCATGCTAGTATTGATAAAATCAGGAGCACTGTTTTTGTTTCTCCTACCAATAAGAAGAAAGGCTGGATATGGGGAAACCAATTCAGTGTAGTGATGGCATCTGTATGATGCAGGACCAAACACTGGCAGATGACTTCTCAAAAAAAAAAAAAAAAAACCAAACCAAAAAAACAACCAAACAAAAAATCCCACAACTTTTGGGTGACCTGGTAAAATAATAGAAAGTGAAATTGAATGCCTTGCTAGTCTGTTTTCTGTTTTGTTTTTTTTTTTTTTCTTTTTTTCTTACAGTGATAATCCATTGCATTTATTGAATGCAGAGTAACCTGTGTTATACAAAGCTTCAAAATATACTTACAGAAGTCATCAGGTGGCAAAGTAATGCCCTTGTATTTTTATCTTGTACATCCTTTTTGTTGGCAACAACATCGGAAAACTAATACCCCAACATTTTTTAGCTAACCTGACTGAGTAAACAACATAATCCACAAATACTTGTATGTGTGCGCACACAAAAATCAAGGTTGACATTTACTCTTTATGTAATACCTGAAGAATCACTTTAATGCATGATAGGAATGGCACGTGCAAAATTAAGCCTAAGGGTGTGGGAGCCTATGACTAAAGAGGGCCACAGCCTCCCTTCTGCCAGGGAACTGCTGAGGGGTTCCCTGGTATGACATTGCCCTGCCCTTGTAACACTGCAGTGATGTGGCATGCTGTGAGGGGACGTGGTGTGACCCCCTCACACACAAACTATGTCAATTGGTAACCCCAGGAAAGTTCTTACTTGTTGGTGTCTCAGCGCAGCTCATACAGTTTCATTTTTTATCTGCTGTATATGAGGGAAAACGACTTAGCACCCAGCTATGATACACACAATGCAGGGGAAAGGGAACAAAACAGGAAAGTACTGAGTTACAGACCTGTCATTCTGCCTGTATGGTCTAAGGGCTGGGCAGGCAGCTTGTGTATTACTCCTGTGGTTTGAAGTTTCCGGAGCTCTGGATAATAGTGTGATAGCTGTAATTCATTGGTGTTGGTAATCTTGGATTTTAAAGATACATTTCTCTGTACTCAGGTAAATCTTACCCAGAAATTTGGATTATCAACCAAAGTGTAATTAAAAAAAAAAAAAAAAAAAAAAACAAACAAACAAAAAAAAAAAAAACAAACAAAAAAAAACCAAAAAAAACCAAACCTAAAAACCAAACCAAAACAACAACAACAACAAAACAAAACAAACAAAAAACACAAAAACCCCACAACTTTGTTCAATGGAATGCTGTGTTCTCCTGAGGGGCATGTAGAATTATTTTGGTAGGCTATATTGTTTTATCAGAGAAATATATCCAAGAAATTCAGTTTAAAGCCCTAAATTCCATGTTTCTGTATTTTAAAAAGACTTGCAATTAGATTAAACTACCAGACTTACTTACCGAAATTAAAATTCACCTCTGGTCATAGCACTTGCTGTACTAAGGCTGTTGTTTTGCATCACTGAAATATAAATCTAACTTGGGGAAAGAGCAGCCTTTGGGAGTTTGTGTGTGTATAAAGTCCATTTCTGGCTTAGTGCAAGTTATCTCTTTTGACCTTACTTAGTTATGCCTACTTCAAGTCTATCTTGGGTCATGTGTTCATAACCTGAAAAGGTTTGTATTTGAAATGTGGTGATGGATGATGTATTAATGCTCTTATTAAATAAAAAATGTTCCATCAAGCTAATATTTAGTCATAAAAATTAGTCTTTTTGAATAAACACTGGCATCTTGACTTATTTTTTTCCATTCTATTAAACCTGTTTTAAAACAATATTAAGCTAACTTAAAACTGAGACAGCTTGATATGAGATGTGTTGATGGCTTAATCTTGCCCTTGTGAAAACTGTATTGTGGATTTCAAAAACTAAAGGAGATGAAATGCAATAAATCATACTGTGCATGAAGCATTTTGTACATTACTTTCTATATGGCTTTTTGAATCTTATGTGTGGATTCTCAGACATAGTCTAACAACACTAAAGGCTTTTTCTGAACACTTAATTTTACTGTTTTCCAAATTAAGGAATAACAATTTAATCTAAATTATTAGCAGCTGTACAAAGGTTAGCTATGAATAGCTATAGTGATGGTAATATGAGTAGTGTTAGACACCAAGATCTACTTTCTTGTGCTAGTTCTATAACTTCAGATTCCTACCCAAATACATTGTTATGCACTCTTGCAAAAGTGCCTGCAGGATGTAAACTTTAAACTACAGGGAGTCTATGCATTGTTCAGTCATATTCATACCTGCTGAGCTATTGTTCTGTGAGGTGTGTCTTTAAGTAAAAAGCAAAGCTGAGCACTTACAGGAAGGCACTTTTACAATGGCTGTCATTTGTTTTGAAGATTAATGTTGTTTATATGACTATCAGGAACTTTGAAAGATATAATACCTATACACAAGTGGAAATACAAGGCTTGTTCCTCTTCAGTCAGCTCCTTGTTACCAGGCTGGTTAACTCACATTGGTTTCATGTGGTGAAAAGGCATATAACAACTCTTATACTGGATTATATGAGTCAATGACTTGAATGACCAGAATAGGTTTTTCTCATTTTTTTTCTTCGAAAGTCACTTTTGTCGACTCTAAAATTCTCTGCAGAAAAGGATGTTTCTAGTTGCCTGTTTAGAAAGTATTTCCCTTTATTTCCATTCATCCTAAATAATAGAAAGCTGTAGGATCTGATCATGTGCCTCCTCTTCTCTTCTACTTAATTATTCTGTTCATGAGAGGTAGTGTGTCACTAGAATATAGGACACTAGATTGACAATTAGGAGGCTGAGTTTGGGTCCCTCACTGTACAGGCAAGTGATGCGTTGTGAACCACTTCGTCTCTTCCAGGTTGTTTGTTTGTTTGTTTTTTTTTTTACTTTGTGATCTCTGTTTGGATTAAGACAAAAGTTTTATTCCCATGTCTTCATACAGCATGTCAGATAAGATTGTGATATTTCCCGACACTTTTGACAATTTTAAATTAGTGGTTCTCTTGATCAGAAATTCTTCTTTGTTCCTCTGTCTCTGCTTTTTTAAGAAGTTTCGAGATCTGGCTTTAATGTATGAATTGTGTGATAAATAATAGAAGAATTTTGCTTGCAATTTTGCACTGGTGTACGGTTCCACTCATTTTCATGACCTTTTTCTTAGACTGCAAGTAAGAGAAGCTATAAAACTGTAAACAGACATCATAATAAAAAATAGCTATACAAATAGATTTCTGAGTGGCTCTTTCCCCCTATAACTTCTGAAGCTGAACAAAATATCACAGTCATTTTAACTGATCTGAAATAGCTTGGTGATATCAAATTTATACCTGATCCTGAAGAGGGAGTTGCCAGTGAGAGTTTCCTTTTTTGAAAAAGTACTCTAGATATTTCTTCCTGGACAGTACTTCAAAGACAGCAACAGTGATTAACTGTATAAAAAGAGGACTAGAAGCATGGCCAGATTTTTGTTTGCTTTGAGAATCTAGTCTTCAGTAGAAAACCAAAACATTATGCTTCTTTCTAACACTGAAGAGAAGAAAATAATCTGAGAATTATTTCATTAGATCATCTTGGAGACCCAGTAGGCAGGTGAGGGAAGAAGCGAAGTCTTTTTATCAAACACAAACCCTTATTAGGAAAGTAGATGAGCCTTGCACAGTGCTGTGAGGATCAGCTGACCATCCCCTGTGTTAAACGAAGCAAATTCCAAAGGGGAATTTCCATTGCAGAGGTTTTTGCTGCTGCTTGGGCGTTCACAACTAAAGACTGGGGCAGACACTTCTGCTAACAATCAGCTACTGTGGCAGTACAGAGACTGAAAAACTTCCAGAGACTGCTTGGTCTAATGGAGAAGAGATCTATTAGTTGTATGCCTCCCAGCTGCTGAAGGCACTGAGCTATAAATTGTTTCTTAATCCTTCCCAGCAGTTTTACATATATGTTGAGCAGATGTTATGTAGTGGAGCACTTCCTTGAAGTTCTCTGTGTTTCAGTGGGCCTGTTGTGTTTCCACAGCATGGTTTCTAGCTGCTATACATACCACCTGATACCTATTGAGTTGGCTAATGAAAATAGCAAGCTATGGGGTCTGGCTTCAGAGAGGGGAGCTGTTGACAGCATTTTTGTTGTATTTTGTACACTTCCTCCTATATGAAAACAACTAATGGCACAGGTGCAATCACTGTTTTCTGTTTCAAATCTGAATTAGATGTCAAGAAGACTGGAGTCTTAATCCCTGAATCAATAAGACAGACATGCTCAAAATCAGGTTTTCAAAACTAATAATTATCATGTTACCATCAGAATTTTTGGGGAGGTGGCAGTGAGGGTTTTACTCTAAGCAGTTGTCGTTAGGAGCAGGGTAAGCAGGGACAGGATCTGTCTTACAAGAAACGTATTTTCAGTGTAGGGTGGCATTGGGATTCTTACTTGCCATGGATACACACTGTCTCTGTTATGTACACATTTATTTTTCCCTGTATCATTGGAATACATGACTATATCCTAACACGATTGCCTAATTCAGCCATTTTTTTTTCTCGTAATTCACTGAGTCCATATGTGCCAACAGACATCATCTTTAGTGTACTGCTGGGAAGAAAAGGCAAAAGGTTGGAACAGGAAGCGACAACTTGCCCTTTGGAACAAAAACCTCACAGTTGCCCTGCCTCAGCTATGGGGAGGGCAACAGCAGCAACATTTACAGTAGTAAATTAAAGAGTTGGAGCAGGACGAGGGATGTTCCCAGACACTAGAGCTTCAAAAACACACTTTCCCAAATGATTTCTGGATGTGGTTTGTGAGTTAACACAAATCAAGGGCCTGGGGGCAATAGGTAGTTTGCTTGCAGTGATCATGTTTGGGTACGTAAGAGTTTAATGGTATAGACCAGAAAACAATCCCAGTTCCATTTAATTTTTACAAATAAAGGCAGTGGGGCTAGATATTGTTGTTTTGTGTCTGCTTTTGATGTCACATACTGTACCAGTATCAGAACCTAATAATTTTATATCTTTTATTTTTAATATCTGTATTTTTTTATGCAATATGACTGTTAAAGTATTATTGGTGAAATCCAGTGTTAATTCTTCTCTTCAGTTTTTAATTGACTAGAGTTCAGGTATAGCACTATATTTGAAAAATAATAATAAAGTTCTGTCTGACCTTGCCTGAAAGTAAGACAAATGTGATGGCATTCCTGTTCTTTCTGGGTCCATGTATGTATTAAATATAAATATTTTCATTCTGTTAGTAGTATAACAGACAAAAGCTTGATATTATTTCACTTGTCCTGTATTTCTTGTAAACAGAAAGTGTCTGTTTTGAATTCCTTAGACTTAAAAGTTCTGCTGTGTGAACAGTATATAGAAAGATGTGAGTTGTGTCATAAACATAGTAAGAATAATAGAATGGTGTCTTCAGGTATCTCATCTTCCTTTCATGACAATGAAATTTTAATGTCACAGCTATAGTTTTGCTAGGAAAATTCTGGGAAAAGAAAGTGTAGAATCTGAAAAAACTTTTCAGGTTCTCAGGGCTTGTATTAGATTTATTGCTAAAAGGAAATATTCGTTAACAAATTATGCCTGAGACATAGCAGTTGGTATTATATGAAATCGAAATTTGTATGGAAGAGAGAAAAGGATTAGAACATTGTGGTTACTTGACTGTTAAATTACTGGGCATGTACAGCAAATTCTAGAATTCTTGTTCAGAGGTATTTACATACACAAAGGGTTTTTTGTTTAACGAATATGCTGTGTCTTTAATTCAGATAGAGATTCTACCTGAAGAAAACAAGAAGCCACCAAATAAGTGAAGCTCAGAGGGCTCTCTTCCAAACTTATCTAGTGTTATTCAAAAGTTAATTGCAACATCCAGTATTTTGGAATATGTCTATTTATGCTACATGTGTTCGAGACATTTTAAAGGGCATGATTGAGGAGTGAATAATTACTGCATTTATATCAGCATTTCAGCTATTTTATTTTTTCGGTGCTTGTAACAAGATAAAAGTAATTTGGAAATATTGATTGGGAGGGGGAAGGGGATGGGGATGGAGATAGGGATAGAGAGAGTTATTGGCTTTGACTAGAAAGAGGGAAACCAAAGCTTACCTATGAGTAAGGACAACTCTAACTTTTTGTGGGTGATTTTCTTCCTTTTGGAGTGGGCAAAAACTGCTTCTCTCTTTACCACTCCCACATCCCCCCCAATTTTGGTCAAATTAAAATTTGGATTCATACTTCATGGTTTACCTTATTTTCTACTTTTTGCAAAGACTTTAAACTTTTCTATTTAATGGTGTAGCTATTTTCTTGCACTATGAAACTGCCAGTCACAATTTCTACCACTTCATCAGTTTATAGAAGTTGCTTGGTATGACAGTAGTCATGCTTGGAGCTGCTGGATTTCAGATTCTGGTTGTTTCAGCCAATAATTGTATTTAACAGCCAAAGCAGCTGCAGTGGATTATTTTTTTCTTCTCCTTCTATTTAAATAAGATCATCATTTTCATTTTCTTTCCAAAAGAACTAGGCCTTTACACAATAAAATGCAGCATTTCCAAACAAAACAATTAAAAACCCCCCCAAAAACCCCTAACTAGTTTCCCAATATGCTATCTGTAACTTAGCAAATATGAATGAAGTGCTTAGTCTTCCCCTAATTGGATATCTGGTGAATTTCTCTTTTTTCTTTTTTTTTTTTTTTTTTTTTCCCTTTTCCCAGCATTATCTTTTTTCAGTGCAGAGGGGGGAAGAACTCGAATCTTGAATCATTGTCAGAAATCTGTTATTCTCTGACTTTATAAAACAATAGCGGATAAAGGCTTTTTTCTCATTCTTATTTCACCATCACCTACCATATAAGAAGGATTTGTGTAAACTTTGATCATGTGCTTGATGTCCTCTTGTAATATAAACAGCCAGATTCTTTTTTACCCCACTGAGGTGGTTCACCTTTTTTTTTTCCTATTTGTTGATCTTAAATGCTCAGTTTCTTCTCCCTTCCATCCTCTGCTTTCTTGTTCCTCCCAAGTCTTCTATTTTTCATCCATCCACAGACTTTTCGGATGTGTGCTGTACACATGAAACATAAAACTAGACCTAAGTGACAGTGAGATAAATACTTTTTGGTTATAACACAAATTTTGTTCTCTGTTCACTAGAATGTTATGGAACAGTTCAATCCAGGACTGAGGAATTTAATAAATCTGGGCAAGAACTACGAAAAAGCTGTTAATGGTAAGTCTTCTAGGTGCTAACTTTAGAAAGAATGTTTAGTTTTCATTTAACTATACATATTGGTTATAAAGGTTGGAAATGAAGCTTATACACAAGTTGAGCTTTGGATGTGTTTAATTGGGGGGGGGGGGGGGGGGGGGGGAAACAACCTAACAAAAAAGTGCAAACACCCAAACATCTGTACCTTCTCTTTCTTTACTGTCTTGTAGAAGTTGCATCCCAAACACTGAGTCACAGAGCTACTGCAAAATAAACTGAACATAAAGTGTAAATAACCCGTATTAGGATAATATAAATGGAAAAAAACCAAAGCTATGTAAATTAGATGTTTACTTTTTTCCCCTGGAAATATCTTCCAAAGATATTTCACAATCTTAGATCTGTTCCTGCTTACCTATATACATCACTACCTAAGTAATGCTGTGAACAGCAAAATTTGTATGAGTAAGAATTGCAGGAGTATATCAGGTTTTTTTTCTTGTCCATGCTAAACCTGATGGTATCTTTTTAATTAAGTCAAAATTAGAATGAATAAATTTGAATCTAAGGACCCAGTCTCTCAAACTTTTTATAATGTGGTAGTTTACTTTCATTGTTGTCTTCACAGAAACTATCCATCTAAGAATGGGGTTCCAGGACTGGGCTCTAGATTCCAAAGCTTACATTGTAGGACCTGTTAGAGCTTGCTCTATTTCACTTATGCAGACCTGTTGAGCTGCTTGATACCATATTAAAGCAATGTAAAATATCTCTAATTTTGCCTCATTCAAGTCTGTTGCATATCTTTTCCCTACATGTAATCTAGTACTCTGAGGAATGTGATACAGCAGAAGTAGTGCATAGCCAAATAGACACTGTAATCTCTCTTCATGCAAATTTTAGACCAGGCTTGAGAAAAAGATGAAACCAAAGCCTTCTGGAGATGAAAATAGGGAACTGTTGATTTATTTGCAGTAATGCCTAACCTGATGGATTAACATTGTGGCTACCTAATACCTAACCGTAAGGATTATATGTAGTACCAGAAATAAGTGTGTTCATGTTTGGCTGAAAGATTTTTATAGTTTCTAAGTGTTCTGCTTTTCATGTACTTTGCTATTGATGTATTACATTGTGCCTCTTCTCTTTTAATTCAATTTGTCATCAGTAATTCACAATATACCCATGCACAGCAACACTGGGAAGGCGATAGGTATTGTGCTCTAGCAAGTTTGCCTTTTAAGATTGGCTGACAAATCATATTTATCATGAATGCTTAATTTCAAATGAATAAATGTTTACAATGTTGCAACAACTGTTGAGAAACTACATTAAAGTCATCTTTGGACTCTCATAAATTGTTAATCTTTTCCCCATAAATACGTCTGTAACAAGGAGTGAATACTCTGTTGCAAAACAAATACTTTGCAGCTTTCCAAACAAGCCAGAGTAGGCTAACAAGGAACATAAAATTTAGAAGAACTTCTGATAGGTTTGTGATGTGGCTTTATACATCTTGAGGATAAAAGGTCAAAACTCCATTTCTACAGAAGTAGGTTACTAGCTATAGTACTGGTGAAGAGACTATAAAAGTGGAGTTCTTGATTAGCACAGGAGAAATCACACATTTTCTTCCTTTTTTAGTGCCTGTATGAGGATAAAAGATTGACTTGGGGCTATCTTGAGAAAACATTAGATAGGAAGAGCTGGAATGGCATCAGATTTTTGTATACAAGTGGCATACTGCACCATCAGTTTAATTCTTTTGTTGAGAAAGTCTGAATATAGAGCACCTATGAGACTTGGCTTAGACAGAAATTCTTCTCGTCTAATGCGACAGAGCCTCAAAATGAATTTTTGTTTCATTTGAAGACTTTCAGGCTTCAGTGAATATACTGTTAAATAACCAAATATGTCACCTTTGCTAGTAAAAACTAGAAAACACAGACCTAAAATACTATAACTGGCAATTGCCAATTATATTCCACTTAAAAAAAGTATTCTGAAGTCAACAGTGAGAGTCGTCTTGGTTTCCGCTTTAGGTTAAGATACTACAGAAAAGAATTATCAAGACTTACTTCAATAAGTATTTTTCATTTCCTCTTACAATAAAACCTTGCCAGTTTGTCCTTGTTATTTCTTTTCTTTGTGGTGTGCAGATCAGTTCTAGATACTATGAAGATGCAAGGCAACCGTTGCAGATCTACTGCATATGTAAAATGTTTCTCACTACTGTCCTCCCTGCAGGTTGAATTTTGATGTTTCCGTGTTCATACTAGCAAAACTGGCTTTGCTGTTTAAATCAGCTATAACCAGGAAATGATTAACTGAGAATAACTGAAACCTCCGTGATCTATATTAAGAGCTTATTGGTTCCTGTAAAACTGAAATTGAACTATAAACAATAAAAGGGGGGGAACTGTCCTGGAGGAAGAAAAAAGACGAGCATCCAAGTGTTAACTAGGTCTTTTTAGTTGGGAATGTTAAACCGTCAGGTTTCTTCTTAAACTGTATATGCACCTGTTGCCTGGGGGGGTGGTTATTGCTTAAAGTACTTGGAATACAGATTTCTCTGCCATCCTGAGTTCAGTGATGAAGATAAAAGTAGGTACTTTACTGGAGTACCAAAATAACTCTGTGCAGAAACTGTATATATATATATCAATGCTAATTTTCCATTTCTGTCTAAGAAACCAGAGATCTAAGCTAACTAAGTTGCTGAACAATGTAATTTATAGTAATGTCAGGAACACTGATAGTATGTTGAAAATTGGGGGAAAAAAATGCCAAATGTGTTATTTCTATAACCTGAACATCATCTTTCAGAGACTTATTTTTTTGAAATTTTAGCATTTAAGGCCCAGAATTTCCTTAAAGTAGAAAAATTGGTGTTTATATGCAGGATCCTCAGATTTCAATGTACTGTTTTGACAAGAAATCATATTTGTCATTGCAGTATATTATGTACAGTGCTATCCATAATGGTAGTTTCTAGAGTGGCTGTATCTGATATATCAAACCTTTCACATTTCACTTTTCTTTTAATTATGTCACACCTAGTGAATGGTATTTCATCATAGCTTTTTTGAAGTGGGTTACTCTTTCAGTTAACTTAAACAGTAAATGGTGATTTGCCTTTGAAGGGCTCCATGTCCCTTGTTGCAACTGTAGGTCCATTCTCTCATGATCAGTAGCTGTTTCTCAGATCAGTGGTCTGGTTGCCCAACAGAGGGCAGAGAGACCTTGGTATTTCTCTTAAGTTGGGGATTGCATTAATTTTTTTCCAACAGTTTTACCTGTACCAAGGAATTTAATGTCTTGATCAATGGCTTATGGCTAAACATACCCACTGGATGCTGATTGCTCCTGGATAGGCATGAAAGTTAAAACTAAATAACAGGCTGAAACTTCATTAATACATTCTGGTGTTCTGTCTCTGGTTTTACAAGTTAGCAGGTAGCACGGAGACTTCTGTAACTTTCTCTGACAGCAGGATTTCCCTACTGCTCAATACCTGTCTCTTACAATGTGCCCTGGATTACAAGACCTCATAGGATCATAGATTAATGGAAATGGAAAATATTTAGGTATTTTTTTTAACAGGCTTTGGGTTTTTTGTTTTTTTTTTTTTGTTTTTTTTTTTTTTTTTTTCCCCCCTCCAGCTATGGTAGTGGCTGGAAGAGCATATTATGATAGCCTTGCGAAGATTGGGGATATATCAGCTGATTCTCCAGTTTCTAAAGAATTAGGTAAGTGAAATCTCATTTTTTAAAATTACTTCAAAATATAAACTTCATATTAGTTTTTCTGCTGGCAGTTCACAGAACTAATGTGAAATAGAAGAGGATTGGGAAAAGTGTGTTTTACTCTTAAATAATGCATAAATGGAAGGGATTAGATTCCTTTAAGCTATATTATTTCTCAAGACACTTACAATGTTTTGGCAAAATCACCTTTTTTTTACTTTTGTGAATATATTTCTGCCTATGCATTCAAAACCATGTATTTTTTTAAGTTCACATAATTCCATAATAACTACTGAAAAATGTGTAGCTTGATTTTTAGTACAGAGATGAGTGTTGAAATATTTCTGCAACAGAATATTGGTAGGAAGAGTCCTAGTGTATGACATCAGTTCTAAACTAAAATGATTTTCTGGATAAGATCCATTGTAAAGAATTTCATTCTACTTCACTATTTTTGATCAAGTGTATCACTAGAAGTTATCAGATGCATTATATTTATTTTCTAGTTGAGGTTTTGAAAGAGAAACTGTAGAGTCAAAAATGTAGTACATCTACATTAATGTAAAATTAATCCAAGTTCTGTACTTGCCCGAAAATAGTTCCTGAATTTTTGAAAGATCAGCACCAGCACTACATCTTGTACTCCTTTGGCTAGCATTGACATGATACCGCTCAACTGACAAAAGTGAAGTTGTTATCAAAGTATTTGAAATATTTCTGATAAAAGATTCTAACATCACTACAAAACAAGTGGGAACTATACTGCTAAGAGGAGACCTTTGTTTAAAGCCTTCATTTGCTTTTTGACAAAAATAACTTGATAAGCTGTCCTGTCTCTGAACTTTTGATTATGGGCAATGTAGGACTCTTTCAGTGATGTAACGTATCTGTTCCTGTAACTCAGAATAGTATGATAATGCACCTGATTAAAAAGGATGTTTTTAGTAAATACTTTTTCAATGATTCTACTGAAGCAGAACTAAGGGGAATGATTCTTCTTGAGTGGCGGCCACTGGTTTCTATGTGCCTGCATATATTTTTGATTTGTGCTGAAACCACTTCTGTGTGAGTGTTAACATTCTGTGTTTAAAGTCGGGAGTGGCAGAACAGCAAACAGTACAAAGCAAACAGTTTTAATGCAGTTGCTCTCTGTATTTGCTTTGCAGGTTGCTTACAGAAAGCAGAGTTGCTGGTTTCAAACTATAGAACAAAAGTATGAGAAAGTTAAAAGTAATAACTATGCAGAGTCTTATAAAAATACCAACAAATACATAATTACAATTTTTGCAATCAGTTTGTCAAATGCATTAACGTAATCTATCTATTGAACTTTGTATGACTGTGAGATATTGTCTGCTTGTTTGAAAATATTATCATTGGGTAGTCTCAATCTGAATTCTGAAAATAACTGGTGTTCCCTATCATTGGGAGTAATCCAGAATTGTGATTGGAAAAATGTTTTTTTCACTATGAATTCTTCCCTGCAATTGTAAAACTTTTCCTAGATGTAATATATTGAGAAAACATGGCCTTCTTCAGGGTCAGGCCTTTAACGCTGCTTTTTGTTCATCTTCTTAAACTGTTAATACAGAAAAATTTTTAATTCTTAAGGAAAAGAGCAACTCTGGATTTCATCCAGCATACTTCCTGATAGGATACTTAATTTAGAGATAAGGAAAGTCAGTGAGCATTGGAAAAGGTAGGATAATGTGGGTAGGAGTCTGTAAGAGATCATTTGCATTTTCTTAAAAAAGTCTAAGTAGCTCTGAAGCTGGACTACAATACTGAACTTTTTAGCAAAGAAATATGATACACCCCAGATGTTTCTAAAAGTATCTTTGCTTAAAAAGAAAAAAAAAATACTGCACCTTTTAGTATTTTAAAAACATTAAGATGCATGCTCAGCAGTGTTGGTTGTGTGAACTAGATCAAACTTTGCTGTGATTTGCTCATTTATGGACCCCGTTAACCCCAGTGGAGTTGTTATAGGTGCAGCCCACTGTGGAATTCTCTCTTCTGTGACTTCCTTTACACTTGCCAAAAGACGTGTTATTGACCACTGATGGCTCTATCATGCATAATACTTTTGTTATCTTGGCCAAAAAAGGGGTCAGTAGTCATCAGTTAAGTTTTGTGATATGCCTGTGAACTGCTTTTCTGGAATGTGTTCTCTTGAGCATCAAGTGAGCTGACACACTAGCTTGTTTTATAAGAGCAACAGTCTAAAGGTGACTGGCAAAGAAGCGGAGAGGGGTGATTTCCATAATTTTACATGTGTGTTATCTGGAATATTTCTCTAACTTTTTACTTGTTTAAAATTATTTTAAGGCCTCTTCCTGTATTAACTGAAATCAATAGCAACATGCCTGCAGATGTCAGTAGGAGATCATTGTGGTTTTTAATACTTAAGATATCATCCTGGCTCTTCAGTGTGCTCTTCAGTGAATTAGATAATGACCAATGACCAAGTTCTAAAGTGTTTTGGAATGCTTTAATATCTGAACACAATTTGAGGTACCGTGGTCTAGATTTCCAGTGTTTAGGTCTTTGGACAACCAGAAAATGTAAATGTTTTTTCATTTGAGTAATAAATTTAAACATCCAAAGTAAATGTTTAAACTAATGCTTGAAACTAATCTGTTTAAAAACAAACAAGCACCTCCCCTCCATGGTTTCCCAGTTTAACTACAATCAGGGCAGTTGGCTTATGGATGGCAAGACTTCATGATGGTCAGAAATACATGGTGTTGGTTTTTTAGCTTCTTGTATCATCTATAGCAGTAACGAAAGGAAAGCCTATCTGCCAATTAATTATCTTTGAGTCATCTTAAATGTATACGCCTCCTCCATTAGCTTTGTGTTTCGTCTATTGTGCACTAGGTACTTCTTGGCTGTAAAAGAAGGTGTTAGAACAACATTCTGCCCTTTTTCCTTTCCTCTGATAGTTAGCATATCGGGTTGTAACTTTTGCAAATAGAGTTCATATTAAAATCAATTTTTGGAATAATGAACAGGGGAATGAGGCAGGAACTGAGGTTTCAGATCTTTCCTGTAACAACTTCACCTTTAGTAGTAGCAGATGAAAAATAACGTATTATTCTAAATTCAGTTGTGTTGCATTTAACTTCTTAACACTTAATTACAAAAGGACTACAAGGCTTAGATGGCTAAAACACAATATTCTTCTGAATTTATGGATAATCTTTTCTGCAGTATTGCACTGTGTCATTCTGCAGTTCAAACCCAAACCTGCTGAGTAACCTAGAGCATATTTACTGCCAAGTGTGATGTAAAGATTTGTCATAAACACAGCCAATCCTTCTTTCTCATAAGGAAATGCAGAACATGGTCTTCCTGTAATGAGACAGTAAAACAGATACCAACCCTACAGCAGGGTAGAAACAGAAATAGAAAAGAAAACGTGAAGGACTTTTAAAAAGTAGATGGTAAAATGCATAGATGGCAGAGAAGTAGTGGGGCAAAAAAATCAACTAAAAATGCCAGAAAGTGCTTTCTTCTATCAAATGAGATTGGAGCAGAAGAGGGAAACGAGAATGAAATGGAAATCTGGATATTCCATCTGATTCAGAGCTGTTGTACTCAGTATCTGTATCTTTCAAGTCTGGTTAAAGCTCTCTGAATTATTTTAAAACAGAAAAACTTAATATGAGTAAGTTGAGGAAGTAGAATATACTACATTCATAATAAAATCCTTATGAATAAGTTGTTTTAGGTTAATGTTCTTTGTAATTTTTATTTCCCAAAATTTCTAAGCTTGTAGTCCCTCAGACTTGGCCATGAGCATTTAGGAACGTAACCTGAACTTATGTGGTTCAAGTTATTCTGCAATATGAAATTTGCATATCTTTCTTTCCTAGGCACCTTTTGGAAATCCCACTAGAAAGAAACAAGAAACTGCATGTTTAAAAATGTTAAGATTTCATACTATTCAAATTTCAGCATACCACATCAGCACAATAAAATTTGGGGTTTCAATAATACTCTAAAAATAATTTTACATAGATACTCTGCCACTGTAACTTTCATGATGTGTTGCTAATCTTTTTTGTCTTGCCCAAAATGCGGGTTTATGAGGCTTTGTTTTACCAATTTTTAGTGCTTAGAATTTTAATAAACTCTCTGTTCTAGTAACACAGGCTGTCTTTGCAGCCTCCGCTTGCTCAAGGAATCAGGAAGTCACTCCCTGCTCAACAACCATTGAATACTACTTCTCATATCTTCCCAACTATCCTCTTTAGCACCTGCCAGTTATTGTAGCTACAACTCATGTATTATATTGTGGGTGTTAAGTCCCAATTCGTTTGTTGTGTGGCAACTGTATCTATAGCAGTCACCCACAACTATATCATGGGTCTGTACCTAGAGCTTATTGCTCAAGAACTAATAAATTTAAACTATCCATTGCTTGCAAAAAGCCAAATTGTATGAAAAATAATACACTGCATGGTCTTGACCACTGAAACTAAATTGCAGAAGTTCAGCATGTTAAAAAGAAAAATCAGAGGAGACAAAATCACTTCCCTAATAGAACCAAGACTGATAACTTTTCTGTAAAGATTATGCTGTGTTATAGGCTTATTTTCTTCATGGTCTTATTCCATTAAAACTTATCTGGAAACAGGTATGCAAAAGCTTATGCTCACCTACAGTCTGAAATGTAAGAAGTTAGAAAAATTTGGGTTCTTTACAGAAGTTTTCTGATTAAAAAACACTACAGGTAATCTAGAGAAGCAAGTATTGGACTAAAAGACTGTTCTATGTTGTGGGAGTCACAAGATAGGGAAAGGTGGGGGAAAAAACCCAAACTTCTAATGGTGTGCATAATAAGTGGAATTCTTGCCTGACAGAGGATGAGCCCTGAACTTGATGTCCTTTCTTCTCATGCACAAAAGAAAGGACTGTTCTTAAAGTCTAACAGACAGTATTTGAACATATTCACAAAATGCAGGTATGTTCATTAAGTGGTATAATTTTAAAGGTTTCCACAAGTTTGTTATGCTTTGTCAAATAGAAAATCTCAATTGTGAAGTGACGTAGCAGTACACATAGTAATATAATATAATAATCACAGTAATACTACGATATCGATAACTGGGGGCAGGGGTTCTCTAGATGCATGTTTCTGGTTTTTTTGAGAGCCCTTATACTTCTCTGCAGTTAGCCAAATGTCTGTAGTCACTGGGGTAACTGCATATTAGTTTGAGAGTCAAGGTTGATAAACGATCTGTCAGTTCAGAGAGTAAGCTAATGATTAGTGAATAGACCTGCAATTTATGTGATAGCATTTCTTATGAATCTGTATAAGTAAGCTAATAAGTTAGAGCTTTTGAGTAACATCTAACAGGATCATAGAGATCCTTTGGTAACTGTTTTCTAGCTTTTTTAAAGCAAACTAATAATAAACAATTTGATAATAACATAAATTAAATACTAATGTAATTAGTACTGTGAAGTTCCATCTATAGAGTTCTGAATTACTTTCTTTTAGTGATAACCACTTCATTTTGTTTACAACTAGGAGAAACCCTGTGAACGTCTCTCTCTCCTCACTTCTATTTGCAGAAATTAGATATTTTCTATATCAGAAACTTTGAGCTTAAAGTGGCCAACTCATACACAAAAATTTTGGAACTGAATTGGAAAATCTTTATTTTTTAAGAAAACCCTATCTCCTTGCTGAAAAATTTCTAATCAGACTGTAATGTAAAGCAATACCATCTCTTTAAAATGCTATCTTGAAGTATTTGCCATTCAAAACGGTCTATTTCCTTCCTGATTAATACACAAAATTGCTACTTGAGCAGGTAATTTTCAAAGCTCTCTTACTACTTCTGTGATAATAGTACTTAAGTGTCACTCTCACTATGGAGAAAGCCAAGCAGAAAGAGAAATTTCTATCATTTAGGATCAATGTAGCTAGTTGCACTTGATTAAAAAAAAAAAGGGGGGGGGAATGGAGGGGGCAGTGGCAGAGTTGTTGGCTTACTTTAGCATATAAATTGACCCTTTCAGGTGGAATCCTATTTCACTTGTTTTAGAAAGATGACACCTCGCATCTTTCCCTTCCCTGGCTCATTTAAACTAAAGAAAAGAGATATGTCATCTTGTCCCATCTTGCTTACTGCATCAGTGTTGTCTTTTCTGTAGTCTAAATGTTCAGCTTTTGGAATAGATTGTGATGGAGAGAAAGGCAGGCGAAGTGTGTCAGCAACTAGAGAACCCCTTTAGCACCTCATCTGGTGGAAACTTCTGGGACACTAGCTTATAGGCTGCAGCTTAAGTAGTTAGTACATCAGGCCAGCTTTTCCTATGGAGCATTAATAAAACACTCTTCTATATTTATAATGAAATTGCATTGGAAGGAGCCACTCCATTCATTTCTTGTAAAAGGAAAGTACACAGAGAGCTATCTTGAAAAGGAAATAAAAAGTAGTTGTGTGGTTTTTCAGGACTGAAGTTTTTTATCTTCTTATTTTACAATAATAGTCTGGGCTTGTGCTATATAGATCTCCAGTCTGCTATAAGAAAGGCTGAAGGAGATGAGCACCCTTCCTAGATACATTTCTACTGATGAAAACACTAGCTGGATTAGTGGAAACTTCCTGCTATTTATAGTTCTCCTTTTCCAAGGTCATTTACAAGGTTAAAACAATCATATTGAGAATTTTTTATTTCTGTAGAATCAGTACTGTGGCTTTTGATGTTCAGTATTTTGCATGTAAACTTTTGATAAGTCTGCTGGAAGAAAGCAAAACTTCAGTCAGATTCTTAACTATGAACAATTTAATTCCACCTCTACTAATTTTCCTAGCCATCTATTACAGAGCTATTGGAAGCTGCATATATTCACTGATTTATAAATCAGTTTAACTATTCAGATATTCATAAGCACGTGCCCTGCCAGTGGCCTGGCAAAAGCTCCTGCAAGTCAGTGTTCATAACTGGTAGAGAATGCTTGGCACTGATATTAATAAACCAAAAAGAAAGGCAAGAGAAACCAGTTACCATGTTGATATCCAGAACCATAATTAACAAACAAAAATCACAAAGCAATAAATAATTACTCTTACAGTATATAGCCCTGAATTTCTCAGGGTGGTTAACGTCACAGTTCATAGGCAGCACTGGCAGTGCTGTTCTTTATGCCACATTGTTACAGTGATACAGTTGTAGTGGGGCAGCTATGACACCAGGGCCTGTGTCCCTGCACCTGTTACTGTAAGCACGGACTTGTGTGTATGGTGACTGGAGTTTAGCACAGAACATCCACAATGATACATGTGACCACACACCCTAAAGGGAAAAATTAGATATTCAAAACACGTAGAGTGGCAGTGTACTCTTACCTGATATCCCCATGCTGTGCCTCAAAGGCCTGAGAAAATACCATGGAGGGTAGGTATCCTTAAAGATTTTCTGACTATATTGGGTTAAATTTCACATGAATCTCATACGTAGTGAAGACATCATTCATCTTGCAGTGGAAACCCTGGAAAGGTTGCCCTGAAGTTCACCTGTGTGTACATGCAATGGTTTGTAAATTGTGGCTAGTGTCCCTCTAGAAAAGAATAATTTGGAAGTGTGAGAACTGGCATTCTGCGTGCGCAGCAGGTGTGTGCTCCCCGGCAGCTCTTTGAACTTACCCAGCATGGTATGATCACAGGGTGCTGGGGCTCATACAGCAGGCATGAGGCCGTTCTCTCTCAGCCGATGCTTAGCAATCATAGTTTTTCTTCACCTCCATGCCCAGGTATGTCTGTTGGCAAAAAAATAAGCATGAAGAGCCTGTGTAGAGAACACATACTTAGTTGTCTTCTCAGTGAGAGAAACAGATGGAAAATTTAAAATAAATTACAACATCGCAAAGAAAATTACATCATATATGTAACTAGCTTGTAAATCCTTTAACCAAAGATATAACTATATTTTGTATATACAGTCAGCTCTTCCTGATGAATTATTTCTAAACAAAACAAAAAAAACAGTATCACGTATATGTCATTAACGTTCCTAAGGCAGGAGGACCAAAACCAGTTGTTTTGGACTCCTGAGAAAAAGACTTTTATCAAAACTTCCAGTTCATTTTAGGTGTGGATTTTTTTTTTTTTTGACATTGCTAAGACTCTGCAAATCAGCGGCAGTTCCAAAGTGCTGTAATAAAAACTGCAGTCATTCATTGCATTTTATTGAAATTCATGTAACATTTATAATGATATCTTAAATATTTATCCTCTCTAGTGCTGGAAACCCATAAAGAACTTCAGGTTTTACTGTTTAGCATGATTTGTTTGTTCCAGTCCTGCTGAAGAACAGAGATTAGCTCTGTTGGGTGATCTTCTCTAACTAATCTGTCTAAAACCAGCAGGGCTTCATACAGGCAAGTTCAGGCTTGTGGTTGTATTGTAATTTACTTTTTTTGCACCTGACCTGTGCAAGGATTACAAGTCACTTGCTTAACACCATTGCAGCTGAAGTATGAAAAGCTGTTGTATATAAGTCTTTCAAGGCCCTATGAAAGATCAGTCTCTGACACACATACCTTAATGTATTGTGGGTTTATATGTTTGGGTTAAAAAAATAAATGCCTGCAGCAGTCTTCATATATATTAGTAATGGAGTAACAGGTGGAAAAACAAGTTTGCCATTTTTCATGCATTATTTATGTGGCATATGCTTTTCCTTTCCTTTTTTTTTAACATTAAAATTTAGTTACTGTGCTTACCAATCATCTGAAACAAGATGAGCATTTCATGTTAATTAATGTCTGTTCAATGATTTGGTTGGTTTAAAAGAATTCTAATATCTGCATTTTTTTGACTAGGAGATCAAAACAGCTGGGGAGAGAAAGGAGAATTAGACCAGCAGACTAAGCTTTGCTAAAACCATAATAAAGTCACATTCCTTTTTAAAATACAATGTAAGCTAATATTTTTGTTCTGTTTAAAATTGTAAAACAGGAGCATCACACCAAGAACAAACTCAGAGTAACTGGAAATTATAATGGTCTTGATAATCTCTTAAGTATTGACTCTTGTAAAGTCTTATGTGGGAATTTATGAACAGTTCATTGCCCACATTATAGCATGTAGTGCATGGTATGACTTTTGTAGTACTTTTTAATATCACTTTTGTCAAGCTGAAAGAATTTGGCATTAATTTTAGTCTAAGTAGAGTATATTTAAACAGCAAGTTGATCCTTGGGTTTTACTGAATAGGGCTTTTTTTATAGACAGTCATAGACTTTCTGAGATAAAGAGCTGAGTAGTTCTTTGTATCTTTTCATAATTTGAAAAACTTTGGAATATTTAAAAAATCATAATTTTAATTCAAGTAATTTTAACTTAGTTTTATGTATTGGGAAAAGTACTTCATTATGCAGTCTTACACTGTTTCCTTTCACATGATCATTGGCAAAGTTTTAGGACAAGGAAAAGATTACTACATAATTTTGATCCTGAACTACAAAAGAAAATGCATCATAAATAAGAGGTGCTAGGCTACTACAGTAGAAGTAACTGTGTTCTATCCCTTCACTGTTTGTCTAACTATGAAATGGGAAAATTTTTCCAACCAGTTTTACAATGTAAGCCTGTGACTAGAACATGGAGGTCCTCAGGAAGGTGGTGGCCATGGCTGAGCTGTCACCACCAGCACAGTCTATCCAGTTAGCTCTGTGTTCCTGGCTGGGTCCAACAAGCTTGCTGGGGGGAGTATGACCAAGTGAAAATAGTAGTAGCAGCCTGATACTAGACACCTTTATTTTCTACTTTTTCCCTGATACTGTTTGGCTCTGGTGCAGAGGGAACAGGCTGTCAGTGAGACTGATACATATTTTTATGTATATGCTATATATGCACATACAAATTCATACATATCAACATAAAGCAATTATGGGAAGCATAGAACGTGGCATTTGCTGTAAAACATCGTCTTCCAACAGAAGAAAGTATGCTGTACCTAGAAAGTAATCTCTGCTGATTAAAACAGCTGTGGACTCCTGTTAAAGTATGCTGGCTGTGATGTAGTTGGAAAGAAATTATTTGAATGGATAAAAACAGAGGCCATAGTACTTCCCCCCCCAACCCTGCTTGATTTTTAACCTCAAGCAGATTAAGTTTTGACTGTGGTCAAACATACTTAAAATCTCTGTGCATGGGCTAGAATATATTTTGTTCACTAGGGGTCCATATGGGGAACACAGGCAGTGAAGCCCTACAAGAAGGAGAAAGTAGAGCACTAAGAGTTGATCACCACCGAACACCATAGGTGCCCAACTCACTAAAGTAGCAACAGTGTCTTGTACAATCCTATTTATTGCTTACTGGTTTTGTCTGGACATGGAGACAAGGTACTTGGACTTAGGCATCTTCCAGGGTCTTACAAACTTTGTAAGACTTTTTCTCTTCTTTATCAATAACACTGTAAAATATCTAAAACGGTTTTAAATATTTAGAAGTAATGGAACGTGAAAAAATAGTGATAAAACTGAGCTATGGAGAAATTGAAACTTCTTAACTCTGAGCATTAGATCAGTTTCAGATAATTACTTGAAATATTGTGAGCTAAGTTTAGATGAGAAATGCTTTGAAAGCAATTTCATATAAAATGCTTACATAGTTAAAGGGGAGCTGAAAGTATGAGACTATTTGTATGACAGATGAATAATTGCTGCAGTTTTTGTGTGGGAGCCTAATGTAAACAACTTTGACAACACATGCTGTTAACAGGACTACATTTTGATATCTTTATATATATTTAACTGTATAGTACTTTAAATTTTTACATGTCCAATAGTATCAGAATGTCTAGTTTCATTCGTCATGGTTCATAATCAATACCACCTTTGAATTTGTTTCACTGGACTAGTACATCAATACACAGATTCAGCTATTGTCATGGAGGTGTTTTTTTCATTTCCTTTAACCTGTTTAATCTATTTTAAACTAATTAACTTATTTGCTTGTTATATTGCTGAAACATATCTGTTGTTCACAGCCTTACTGAAAACTGCATATTTTTAAAATAAAAATTGATCTGAGAATGCCATTTAGAATGTGAAGTTCTCTGCTTCTATTTTTGTTTTAATTACAGATTTTTTTTCTTTAGTTCTTTGCTATTCTAGCAAAACATAACTATCTATTTGGAGGTGCTGCATCAGGCGCTACATCTAGCATGTTCAGTGGACTTAAAGTTTGTACTCTGAAATATCTTCCCCTTTTCTCTGTAGGTTTTGTTCTTTTTTTTTTTTTATTCTTCCCCTTTACCTTCTGCGGTCACCTTCATAAAATGGCATTGAATGGTCATGTATCAATGCCATTTTATAAAATGAACTACAGAAAGATTCACCCCTTGCTTATTTCATGTTCATTCATGTAGCAAGGAAAGGGAGACTTGACTTACTCCTATAGATGTACATGCACATTATTAATTCTACAGACTGTGGGTTTTTAAAGTATTCTGGACAAATTGTATTAGAAGCAAAGTACAGTCAGAGCTTGGAAGTTTTACATTACTTTGTCCTTCTTTTATGATTTTATTCTTTCACATTAAATTCCATTAAAGCTTTTTGCCTTCTTTAAAACCTCTACTGCACAATTAAATCCTTCTGCAATAAATCCTTCCTATGACAGAATGATAAATTTAATGCATTTAAGGCTTAACAGATGCTTTGTTCAATCATACTTATTTGTTATATGGTATTCTTTTGAAACTTTCTATTTTATTACCTTTCAGGGGCTACTGGCTTCAGAGGACTTTGTTTTTAACTTTCCCTTGTCATAAGTGCCTTTCTTCTGGGTAACTTGGAAGACAGAGCATCTCGACAGAAATGGCATCTAATAATACACTTGAACTATATTGTCTCCAAGTGTAGCTTTGACTCAGCCTTTCATTCTCTTGCTTAATGTAAATAATTATGTGGTTTCATCTCTAAGACATGAAGTTACTAGACCTGCCCTGAATGCAAAATAGGACAACAGGAGATAAATGAGTGATATAATTAAGCACTTTGTTCCCAGACATCTAAGAAAGTTTCTCTTTTAAGAGACTTGAAATTTTTCAAGAGTGACCTCCTCTAAATAAAACAAAACTGAAGTATATTTCAAGTAAGGTTGATGCAATTAATGCTTTTATTGAGTCTAATGTAGCTATTTAGTATTTTAAAAGTTTAAGTGATTTTGTTGGTGGTTGTTGATATTTGTTTCTATGACAGAACTCTATTGAATGAGTTGTTTCTAACTTGAACTAATTCTTCTAGTTTTCTATTCACAAGAACAGTGAACATAAGCTGAAAAGATAAATAACCAGTACAATCACCCAGTGTTAACAGTATGGTTGAAGTGTAGCTGCTGCAGAGCAGAAGTTCTGTATTCTGGCCTTACAAGTAGTATTTCTGTTAGAAATTGCTTTCCTTGTTCTTCATCTACTGTGAAGACAGTCTTTTAAGGATGTTGTCTTGCTCATGGGATGCTGTGTATGGAGAAATACCTGTTACACGTTTTCGGTTACTGATTTCCTTTTTTGTTTTGTTTTTGGTAACAAAACTAACAGCATTAATAGAATTCTAGTCTGTCTTATTTTCTCAATAGAAAATACAGATACAACAAACAGCCTTAGTTAAGCTTAAAAATATTTCACAAACTCCAGAAGTTTCAGCTTAAAAGACCTTTCTACCTGTGCATTGAACCTGTTTGAAATGAAAATAAATTTACCATGAAACTTGGCATCGCTGTTCACGGTCATATATCAGACTATAGCTGTATTACACAGCAGGGTTTCAAGAACCATATATGAGAAATGCTTGTTTTGTTTCTAAGTTACTTAAGACATTTGAGAAGTTTCCCCCAAAATTCCCTATCTGAAAGAGATTTTTTTCTCTTCCCTGTAGTGCACTTGTAAAGTAATAGTAAAATAACAGAACCAAGTATCTATCAGCATTAACTACTACATTTTTGTTTTCTAAAACAAATGCGGGACTACTTAATGGACCTCCACTCAGTCACAAAGATTTCATGTTCAGGGTGTGGAGGAATTGAAAGCAGAAAAAAGTATCTTTGAAAGGCAAGTATTTTAATAGTTATGCTTATCATCAAGACCGGTGGTTTTGGTTTATTAACTCCTTGCATAATACGATGCCTAAAACCGGTTCAAGTTTATAGTATGTCTGCCACAAATTGGACTAGTGGTCTGTTATCATGAACTCTAGTCATGTCATTCTGTTTGATAGGTTTGGGGCTTGCCAATGAATGATGACAGGGTTAATATTTCTTTATTGTGTATTATGAGCTCTCATACATAAAACATGATCATGAGCAACTTTAATACATAACAAAATATTTTTAGCTGATGTGAGAAATACATGTTTGTTTTTGTCTTACGTAGTTTTCTGTACCTTTTTATAACATTAATAATTACTGAACATTAGAGCCTGGCTTCAGGTTATGCTGTTGTTAATCTAGAGTAACCAATTGTCTTTATTAGCACTATTCTATAATTCTCCACTGTAATTAAAATCAAAATATTATATTGAAGTAGTTCAATTTCCATTCCACTTGAACATTGTTACATGTAAGCCAGGGTTTGTTTTGCCTTTCCTGAATTAGTCTTCTACAAAAACTTGTCTCCTTGTATAAATCTTATTTGGGAGGCACATGTGGCTAACCCATTATCTTAAAGTGGCAATAAAAACACATGGTATATGTTCACTGTAAGAATGTTTTCTATTTGCTTGAAGTGCAGAATCTGACCTATAATGTAAACTATAATTTAAATCTTAATAGGTCAGAATGTGCTTACTATGGGCTCTTTTCAAAATGTTGATTCAAAACATGAAAGAGGAAATTAAATGGGTGAGCCAGTACATACAGTGGCTGTGGATTATCAGTGGCCGTAAGGAGATTGCAGCATAAAATGGCTTTTGCCTGGTGCGCAGCATGCAGGGAGTCTTTGGTTGAGAGAAAAAGAAAATGTTGTTATACAGTCACTGATATCTAAAAATACTATTTAAAAGTGTTCTAGAACACTCTAAAATAAACTTGTAAAATAATCCAGCACAAACTGTTTAGAAGGAAGTGTAGTTTGTAAAGTTCTCTTCATTTCAGGACATGTTTTGTCTGTATTCTTTGTAATCAAGATGAAAAAACCTGTTTCTAACCAACCATTCAAAGCCTAAAGACTGGAAGGCTGCAGTCAGTTCGAGTGCTGTGTGAGACAAAAATAACAACCTCGAGCGTCAGGTTTTCCATTCTTGACGCACCAGGTGAATGGGTTGTTTTATTGAGCGTTTACACTGTGGTGGCAGGGCAGGCCAGAGGAAGGGAGTGTGAAAGAGCGATGCGAGAGCTGAGTCAATACCCGACGTTGTTGGATGTCTGTCAGTACCTGGAACGCCAGGGCCGGCTGCATTTGCGTTGCCAAGTATTAGTTAAGTGTGCTGCTTTGGCAGCAGATTCGCAGAACATACTTTTTACAAAGAGGGAGAATAAGTTCATTTTTAAAAGAACAAAAATCTTTAAGGGTGACTATTTTGAGGGCCATTTCAACACTCAACCTGAATTTCTATAACTTCCCAAATAGCTTTCTAGTGTGCATTTTTAAAATCTAACTTTGTAATTTTATTTGTATTTCTTGATGATTTGTTTCCTGATTTAACACTATTTTCTGTTTTAAGTGTTTACAAAACTCTTCTAATTTTAAAAGCCTGTTACAGTCTAAAATGTATCTTTTCAGTTGAGTTCGGTGAAACAGAAGCACTGCGGACTGAAGTGCATTCACTTCTACAGCCCTAAAATAACAAGGTGGCTTACTCATGTCCGTTACTTCAGATGTTTGTGTAACCACGTTGTATTTACTTTTCTGTTGCATGTGAGAACTAATTGCTATAGCACTTCTCACTTCTCACAGAATTTATATTTTTGTAGTCACCAACAACTTTAAATATGAACAAAAAAGCATAGTACACTGTAGGCTGTACAGAAGCATTCAGAAAAACAGTATATATAGATATTTAAAAAAAAAAAAAAAAAAATACAGCACCTCTCTATGTCTCTGATCTACCATCCTGAGTGTGATTCCTTTTCCTTGCCAATCAAGGGGTTGACTGTTTTCATTGTTTTCTGATGCCTTCTTCCATTTCTCCTCTAGCCTGGTGTGCAAAGAGCTGTAGATGTGGGGATTGGGGAGTGAAGAGGGATTCCTGAAAAGCCAGGAGACACGTGTATTTTTCTTCCTTAACTGCATCGTTTTCCCATGAACAATAATGCAGACCCACATTTTACATTTAGTTAGAGATCTGTTGTGTTATACTGCTTCACAGGACTGAAGATACAGTTCTCATTTCAGAGAAACTAAAGTTTTGAGGTGTCTTAACTTTAGAATGACAGATAAGGGAGGAAGGTGATACTATGTACCCAGGCACTATAGGAATGCAGCTGCTATATGGAGAGGTTAACAAATCAGCACCAGGTGCTGTGAGGAGACAGGTTTTGATGGCTGGGGAGATACTGAGAAACATGAAAAGGATCTCATGAGAAGTTCTGTCATTCATTTTATTTACCCCAATGTTTTATTTATCTGCACCTTTGGGAGTTTTTGTGTGCACCTGAAGGAGCTGAAGCATTATAAGGTGGTAAGTCTTTGCTGACTAACTCAGGAGGGGTTCTCAAGAAATATGGATAGTAGGGAACAGGACTTGTAAAACAGCGTGTTGAACAGTTAATGTACCCTTTTTCCTTTGAAAAAAGGAAACTGAGAATCGTGTAAGTTAACAAATCGGAGGTGACACGCAGAGCAGTCCTGTGCAGGGATCTGCCAGTAATACATCATCAGAATTACAGAATTGTGTGTAGCTCTAAGGCCTTGCCTGTACATTAGGACAGCACTACTGCAGGTTTAATACTGCAAGCACCTGTGTGGCAAATGCTTCATGGTGGGATAACTGCAAGGTCAATTAAGGAGTAGAGAGGTTACTGGAGGAGGCATGCCAGCGAACCAGCTGTGGAACTGAACCTGCCATTCTTGCATTAGAAATGGAATGGTGGTAAAACACAGCTCTAGTCAAGACTTCCAGATGCGACACAGTTTGGGAATCTGATCGTGGCCCAGGCACTCTTCAGTTTTTTGTAACAGCTCCTGGTAACTATCTGCAGGTCTAACTTGGGTGAAGTCAAACTGGGCGCTTCAGGACACTTCCAACTATTTTTCTCAGTAGTATGTTGCAATCTCCCAGACAGGACTGGCACACAGGCAGTGTGTGTCAGTGCCAGCACAAAGGAGGGAGCGGGGGTGATGTGGCCATCTGTATCCAGAGCAGGATGATGTGTCTGTCTGCATACAGGGCAGGACCACAGCAGGCACAGTTTACATTGGTTTGCACATAGAACCACACCCAAAGGATTGAAGTGTTTTTCCTCTACATCTTCCTAGAGCAAAATGAAGCAGTTGAGCTTTTAACTGCTCACAGTTAAAAGCAAGCTGTGTAACTTTGGCCTGGAAGACAGCAAAGCATAATAGACATATTTAGGATCTGTTGAGAGGATGCTGAGAAGTCTGCTGCTTCTTGACTGTTAGGTAATGCCATACAGTCAGGCTGTAAGTGCTGATAAAACAGCACAGAAAATGAATCAGCATCTATATCAGATCTGTTTTAGCAGGTGTGCTGTGAATGAATGTGAAAGGTTACTTTGTTAATTCTGAAGGTGCAGTTAGTTAATAAACATTAAAGTTTAATTTTCAGACTAAAAAATGGATAGCGGCTATTTGGATAGCAACAACTATCTCTAGTTCTTGTGTGCTATTCTCTGACTTGGCAAGAAAAGAGGCTGTTACTAAATCAATATGAGCTATGCTGGAGAGAAGGAAGTATTTATTTTGTCTAGCACTCCATGTCCCTTTTGCATAATAATGCATGATTAATCCGTCTTCTGTCACTTATGAGCTTCTTGGTTTGTCTATGGCCAGATCCAGTTATTTATTTAAACTGATGTGATGAGGAACAGCAAGAAATTTCCTATCCCTCGTAAATTTATTCTAGTTAATGAATATATTAGTTAAAAGTGTATTTTATTACTGCTCTTTGCTAACTAATTTCAGAACTCTGACAGAAACAAATACAGTTGTATGTTTATCAACAGGCCAAGTTCTGGTAGAAATTTCAAGAACACACAAGAAACTTAATGACAGTCTAGAAGAGAGTGTAAGTTAAACAATTTATGTTTTTAATTTATTTTCCTTTTGAAATAATAATTTACTTTTGCCAATTTTTAATAACCCTCCATTTATTTGCTTTTCAAGTTCAAAAAATTTCATAAAGAAATTATATCTGAACTGGAGAAGAAAACAGACCTGGATGTAAAATATATGAATGTAAGTATATTCAAATCTAAAAGTCATATTTTATCTATTGCTAGTCAGAATTTTTCAGAAATGGTTCCCTAACAGTTAATTAATCAATATGTTAGAACTGAGCTTTAGATACATAAACATGGCAAAATTTTAATGCTTATTTTGAGTTAAAAAGGGAACCGATGCATGATTTAATGGCATTATTAAACTGAAGTTGAGAAAGGCAGTTGCCTAACTCATTTGATGTGTATTAGCAATATCTCATAGATTATGTATGGTAATGCTTTTTAGTCACTTACCCAGTTACATGGCTGAGCGCATTATGAGATGTTTTAAACACTTTGATTGCAGGCAACTTTAAAGAGATACCAAACTGAACACAGAAGCAAGTTAGATTCTTTAGAGAAGTCTCAGGCTGAGCTGAAAAAAATCAGAAGGAAAAGCCAAGGAGCCCGGAATGTCATGAAATATGAACATAAAGAAATGGAGGTCAGTGTATTGTCTCATTTGTTTCTTTATATGAGAACTGGTCAATAGAAAATGTTAAGCTATTACAGGTCACGTGAGTCTGTTTTAAAACTTGATTTCTGAAGCTTACCACAGATTTTGTATGTGCAGTGTTATTAGTTAATGCACATAACATCTCTGTACGTTGTTTGGCAACAGTTAAACTCTGCAGTTTCAAAGAACATGCACTTTTGGTTCCTCAAAGTTGTTTTATATTAAAGGCACTCATGGAGTTCATATTCCAGTTGAAATGAAGCTCTGGACTACTGTGCTGTACGTATTCAGAGACTTCTGCTTCAGTTTCTAGGTCTCATCCCTTGACCACTACTTGATTATTTTTTTTTAAGTACCTCTGTAACTACACCTTTATGCAGAGGTTTACACAGGGAGTCAGCTGTGATATGCAAATTCAGTAATAATTCACTATATATTATTTTCCAAAAGTAGGCAAATACCAACTTCTTGTTATCACTTACTACCCTTCCTACTGATCCTTAAAACAGCATTGCCATCTTGAGGCAAAATAAGAAATGGCAAAGCAATGAAGGGAAACTATTTTCAGTTGGAAAATCATATTCTGGCTGTCATGTGTATCTCAGAAAATATTTGCCATTGATATTTTGATTTGCACAATACTTCTACTTCATGCTAGCTTATATATTTTTTTCTCCATATTTTTTTATTTTAATTTTCTTTTTAAAGAAAGCTTTGTTTATAACAAGGTACAGTAAACATAGATAGTACTAGCTCCTATTTCATACTACCTATCTTGTAACCTGCATTCATAACAGGTTTGGGGTTTTTTTAACCCCAATTCTCAGTAACAGACTGAGAATTCAAGGATTTGCATTTAGTCACAGTTTAGCCATCAATCATCATAACCTCAGATAAACACAGTTTATTCTTTTTAGTAACCCATTTTCCCCTTTCTAAAATGATGTAGGAGAGTCATCATAGCTTTGTGAGGGTAAAAGTAACTGCTGTGGAACAGATGAAGGTAATTAGACTAAGTAGAACACCTGTGGCCTTAAAAGTGCTCAGCACAGTTGCTTGCATGTCCTATTTTTATTTACTGCAGCGTTTTACTTAGGGTCTAAAAGACTTTATTGTTTTGCTTCACTTCCCCCACTCACACCTTCTAAATAGATTATTGATTGATTGCCCGTAATGAGAATATAAATTTACCTGATGAGATTAGGGAACTTCAGTGCATGTGTGAAACGAGAAAGATTCGGTAGTAGAGCCGCTCTACCCTACCTGCCTTTCTAAAATCTTTTTCTAAGGCTGTTGGAGTTTGCTTCAGTAATTGGATGTAGTAGCAAATAAAACTCTTGAGACTGTATATGATATTTTTTTTCTTTTTTTCCTTAGTATTTGGAAACTGTGAGCTCTCGACAGAGTGATATTCAGCGATTTATTGCAGAAGGCTGCAGAGAAGCTCTTCTTGAAGAAAAAAGAAGGTTCTGTTTTCTGGTTGACAAGCACTGCAGCTTCACCCAGCACATGCACTTCTATCACATTCAGGTCAGTGGCATGAGCGTGAATAGAAATGAGACTCATGAAATGTAATCATATCGGAGATCTGAAGTATCTCCGGCAGTATGTAGATCAGATTGCCCTAAATAGCCCAGATAGCACTTAGCAACACTGTAGTGCCAGGCGAGTGTTGTGATCTGTTCCTAGAAAATGTTCACAATGCAGTAATCTCTTAAATGTATTCCAGCAACAAGAAAGGGTTACTGTGACTTTTTAAAAATCTTATATTAAGAAAAAAAGTGCATGGACTGATCAGGTATTTCCAGTATCTGACGCTGAAAAAGGACAGTCTTTTTCTACAACGTATTTGTTTCAAAGAGGTATTACAAAAATCTTTGATAAGATTTCCATATTGCTACTGTTATCATTTTGTTATAATGAAAATTAACAAGTAGGTCTGTACAATTTTATGGAAGAGTGTATCTTTGACAAGTACCTTTTAAACTTTGATGCAGTGTGCTGACTTCCTAAAATCCAAGCTGCCTGGGTGGCAGGAAATCTGTAGCGATGCCACCAAAGTGCCTGAAAAAGTCAGAATGATGATAGATGAAATAAGGACACCTGGTTCCACTCCAATATCAGGAACTCCACAGCCTTCACCCATGATAGAGAGAAATACCATGGTATGTTGTTCTTTGATGGTTAAAGTTTCTCTCTCTTAACTGGGAGTAGAGAGGCCTCACTAGCCGCTTTTTATACCTATGCATTTGGGATCGAGTCTATAATGTACCTCAGTTGGAATATACTGGGGTTGGGTATGAAAGCAAAATCATTAAGCTGAAGCTCTGCTACTGGAAAAAATACACAGTGCAGTGGGCAGAAGCATATATCCAAACAAGGCTTGGTTTTTAGTGGGCTACCTAGGACTTTCTGCAGAGCTCAGCCTTGGGACTACTTTTGTTCTAAACATTCCATTTCCTACGTTCTTATGTGTAAACAATATTGAACTACTGAGTATGCAGTTACTATAAACTTAGACAAAATATTTTCTATTTTCTTTCCTTCTTCCTTCTTCCCTCCATGATTCTTATTAGTGTATTAGAGTACAGGTTAAATTCTAAATCCTACCGATTTCTATGTTGTGTCACCACTAATTGTTGAATTTCTAAATTATATTAGTAAACTCATAAGTAAAAAAATCTGGACACTATCTAGGTGTAACTGTGCTATTTGGGGGGAAAAAAAAAAAAGGCTATAACGGCTTTCCCACTAACTAATGTTTATCAAGGGGCAGATGCCTCTTACAAACTGTTGTGTCAGCAATTTCATTCATGGGAACAAATATGTATCAGTTGGGAATATTTAAGAATTGCTTTCTAGAATTTAATGTTGCAAATAAGCTGTCACTGTCACCTCAGTATTGTGACACCGTTGTTTTCGTGACTCTAGATTGGAAACGTTTATCCTCATCATGAAAATGCATCAAAGGTGCCCCCTGCTCCTACAGGTAGGGCGTACACTAGTCCGCTAGTTGATATGTTTAACCATCCTGCAATGGCTCCAAAGACATCTTGTGAAAAACGAAGTAATTCAGCAGGTTAGTGTCACTTTGCAAACTACGTAACTGTAAATGACATGCTATAGTGTTTGAAATTATCTTGGGACTTCTTGATTACTATGATGATGTGAATTTCAGGACATACAGAGAAGAAGAAAACATTCTTTACAAAGTATTTATGTAAGTTACCTAACAGGAGAAAAATATGTTACTAGAGGAATTGTTTGCAGTAAAATGCAGGTCAAGATAGGTAGATTCTATTTTAATGACTTTCTGTATGTCCCTGATGAACCCAGCCTAACTGCTCTTATGACTTCTAATCTTATCAGTAGAATACATTCTATAATTTTGAACAAGATACACCCAAGTGATTATCTCAGTGCACACAAATAAACGTAAACTAGTATTACAGTCTTGCTTTGGTTTCCTTTGAGGGCACGTAGCAGGGAAGAATGCACATAGGACAAAATGAGCAGAGTCTTGTATTTCTTTCCTGCAATGTAAAATCCTATTAAAATTTTTCTTCTAAGCCTCTAGTATACAGATTTATTTTTAACTTTCTCTGCTGTAGGGAAGGAAGGGAAAGAACTAGGCCTAGATCACAGTGTAAGAAATGCAGAACTCTCCAATGTGATAATGGCAATTCCAGCATTTCTTCCTTAAAAATGCATTTACAATATATTGTACTGGTCAAATAACACACAATTGTGAGACCTTCTTTAAGTTGTCTTCTGGTAAAACATCTGGTGTCTGCAAAGTGCCAAGTATCTGCAACTCTCATAGATTCAGCTGAAGTTGAGTGCTAGGCACATTTAAAAATGAAATCTTGGACTTGATACACAATTAAACTTTTTTAGAAGAGAAAATTTTCAGAGGTCTTCTACAGCTGTGAACATTTAGCGTTTTTCATGCCAAAAGGGAAAAGTAGCAAATTAAAAGTTACATAACTTTTTTTTGTCTGCTGGTTCAGCTTTATTGTGATGGGGGGTGGGGTGTATACAAATGCACGTGCTGTAAGAGGTGTGTATGTGGAAATCAAAGCACTACAAGGTCTCAGAACTTGATTTGCACCCGAGTAGTCCTTTATCTGCTTTTTTTTTCCTGTCAGGCTACTAATTATATTTCATTTTCTTAGTGTGGCTAATTTTGCCTCTTTTGCTTTGTTTTTCTCTTTTTCGACAGAAAATTCAGATGATGCCAGTTTATCGCGTTCAACTTCTGTTGCCACAGGTCTAAATATAATGAAAAGGCAAAAAGTAAAGACAATCTTCCCACATACTGCTGGAAGTAACAAGACGTTGCTTAGCTTTGCACAGGGGGATATTATCACACTTCTTGTAGCTGAAGAAAAGGATGGCTGGCTTTATGGGGAACATGATTCAACTAAAGTGTAAGATACGTTACCTAATTTGAACATGAAGTAAAAACCTGTCTTGTCAGATTTTGTTAGCAGACATTAGTAAATGGTTTTCCAACTTTTTTGCTGGCTGTCATTGACTGGGGACTTGGAGTCTTTCTGTAAGATAAATCACTGCACTTATTTTAGGAAGATTTTGTGTATTAATTTGGCATCATCAAAAAATCACATCTTTAAAAGTTAAATCTCAGTTCATTGTGTCTACTGTTTTGTCCACTGTCTCTTGAAAGATCTTTCCAATTTTATGTAATACAAAATTGAAAAACTTTCCCCTTACAGAAAAGGATGGTTTCCATCATCATATACTAGACCACTAGAAGAACCAGCAGAAGAAAAAGCGTTTGTTCCAGTGCCAAGGTAACATTTTGGGTGGGACTTGCAGAAATGCCCAAATCTCCTCTAACTTTTATTAAAAATGTTATTTTTCTGCTCATGTCCTTTATTATTTGGTATCATATATAGTTATTCAGTAACATATATAGTAAATACTTCTAAAAGTCTGTAGTATGATGCCTTGATTACATTAACATGTTTTAATGCTTTACACAAAGGCCTAAGAACTAGCTTCACCCCAACTTTATAATCTGGGAGTCCGACTGACTTCAGTGGGGATTGTAAACCTTCGTTAACTTTCAGCTCATGCACTTTTTTGTTTTCCTGGGGCTAAAGATAAGCAGGAGATGTATTACAGGAACAGATGATGTTACTTGTTGGGTTCTGTCTTGCAGCCCTGCACCAATCCGAAGTATCAGTTCTGTAAATCTTGTGGAAAAAGGTGACGTTGTCCTCCCACCACCAGACTACCTGGGATCTTTGCAAACAGATAAAAGAATGGAGCCTTCCAAAGGTACTGCTGCTGTTAAAACACCAACTGACAGACCTGAAAATGCAGGCCCGGTAAGTAGTCGATACCATGAATCTGAATGTTCTGCCCTGCTTACTTTTCTTGACCTACTTAGCTGAGCTCTTAAATGAGGCCCTGGAATATTCTACCTTGGCTACTTGCACTTGACTTCAGCAGCCCTTTGACACAGCTGTCTTCAGGAGTATCATGTAGTTTTGGCATTTCAACCCATCTGTAGTAATGGGAAGGGAGAACTGTTCAGGGATATAACTAAGAGTTCTAGGAGACTTACACTGCATAGTAAACTTCTCGGGAATGGAATCTGTTAAACATGAAAATAAATTCTCACAGCAAGTAGTACAGATCTATCATCTTGAGTGATTTCAGAGCTACAAGGGGACAAGGGACTTAAAGCAGCTTAAACTCTGTATTCAGGAATGCTTTAAGCAACCCCATGAAACTTAGTGTTGTTTTTGTGGATGTTGCTGAGGGATATATGTACTAACTAATGTCTATATTCAGCAAAACCACAGCTGAGTACAAATACATTTTTATGAATAGCCAATGCTATATAAAGCTAATATTTCTGCTATTAAGTCAGCATTCCAACTGATTCAAAATGAAGGCTAATCTAATCAAATCAAGCAATTACTGGTCTTTTTCTTGCTGCTTGTTTAAACAAATATTTTGCTGGTGTGTAGCTAATGGTGATAAATGTTCTTGAGATTGTTTCAAGAGGCTTTTTGAAGACAGATCCCATTTTGATGGCAAAAAACTGAGAGAGATAAAATAAGGTGGTCACTGCTAAAATTGAGACACTGTGCTAGAGTAAGATCCTAAGTTCCATTAGTAGGTACCAGAGCCAACTTCTGAGAAGTCAGGAATCCTATACTTGGCTGCCAGTAGCTGAAAAAAATATACATTTTCTTATTTATTGGTATGACTAAATTATTTTCTATATCAGTGTAACATATAAACAAATTTAGGGTTGTCCTTCTAACAAATGTTCCTGTTTTCTAAGTAATCTGTTGAACCATACAGTAGAAATTGAAGTGGCCTTTGCAAGTTTATGCTTTATGAAAGTAAAAATAACTAAAGAAACTTAAAAAGCACAAACCAAAAGTCTGTGGCATCACACTTTCATTATTGGTAGAAGAGTCCATGTAAGGCCAAAGGATGACAATACTTACAATGGTGCTCCTGTAAAACGGAAAGGCACTGGGAAACAATGGTCATCTTCAAAGCAGCCTCTTCTCCTGCTGTTTCATTTCAGTCTATGATGATGTCGGGTATCTACAGCATTTTTACTTGGAGGTATTAGGCATCGGAGGGGGTTAACAGGTCTTTGTTGTATTGACAAACAAAGAGAATGTACTGTGTTTAAAGTAGGTAAAAATGGAAACATTCACTGAATAACAAAAATATAACTAGCTTCCAGTGTATCACTTTCTAACTCTAGAAAAAACTACCTTTGGAAAGACAGAAGTATGACACAAATTGCGTAAATTGTCAGTAACATCTGATTTTTAAACTATTATCGGCATTTCAGAAGATAAAGACAGAATTTTAACAAATGGGAGGAAGGGAAATGAAATTACATTAATTTTCTTTAAGTAAATAGCAGGTCTGCAAAGAACTCACTTTTTTTTAATCACATCATAGACTTGTATCTAGTTCTTAAAAAAAGAGCAGGTCACCTCAACTTTATAAACACAAAAAAAAAGTGAGAAATTGCTGGAGGTTCAGCTACACAGGCCTTTCAGAAATGTTCCCTCCAGTTGTACTCAGCTTTGAAAAGCCACTCTACAGCCATTTCAGAAGAGCAGCTATAGATACAACACAAGAGACACACTTCTAACTACTGCCAAAATATCTCTTGCAGATGCAAAAATTGAAAGAAAAAAGTGTCTCTTCTCTGGCAGGGAGGGGAAAAAGGCTAGTGCTTTCCATTACAGAAAATCTGTGTTCCTTAAAATGCATGAAGAACTAGAATCAGAGCTGAGAGCCTTTCATAAGAAAAAGGATGAAAGTTGCTTGACATGAACTTGCGAAGCTCTTGGAGATCTTACCCCATTTAGACTAGACTAGTAATGTTCTGGGATATTATTTTTTTAATCTAAATATTCCCAATAAAAGATCAGCTGACTTTTTCTGTCAGAACAGTAATATTCACATATATATATTAATATAGCATATTCAAATCCACATTCAAGTGGCTTTATTTATCAGTAATGAACTTTGTTGTGTAGAAAGTATAATTTGTGTAGTGTTTCTAGGACAGTATTTTTCTGTGAGGAGTAAAGCTTTTCCAATGCATGAAATGAGTATCAAGAAATAAGATCTAAATTTTAGTGTTAAGTCACTTTCAAATCAAAAACCCTGGAACCGCTAAAATGATTATGAAGACCAGCATCTGTATTTTAACACATTTGCAGTTTTCATTTTTAGACAAAGCAGCACTGAGCCTTAACAATCATGTCAGATTTATACATTGGTCCCTTGGTCTCTGGCTAGCTGTTGAGACCTAGGGGATCAACGTGTCCTTCAAATGTAATTATCTTCACAACAGTTAGAAGATATATCAGCCCGTGGAAGTTGCCAAGGAGGCAGTACAGTGAGATCTTTGCCCTGTGACAAGTAAAAGGTGACTTATTGCAGGTCTTAAAAATCATTCAATCTGTTGAATTGTCTCGGTATCACTGTGCTGTGCTTCTGTCTTTAATCTGGCTAACTGTCTTCAGTTGGTTCTCAAGAGTAGTCACCTTAAGGGTTGTTTTGTTTGTTCTGTGGCATGGTTTTAGGAATAAGCTTTAGGCTTGTGGACTAACATTCTCATTGAACTGAAAAACCAAGGGGAATGGCAGATATCGGTCACTTTTAAGATTCAGCTGGACACAGTGCTGGGCATTCTTGTCTAGACTGTGCTTTTGCCAAGAGAGGTTGGATCAGATGATCCTTCAGGTCCCTTCCACCCTGGGATTCCATCATCATTTAGTTGACGGACTAGAAGTGTTCTAATTAGAACAGTATATTCTCTATGGAGACCAGAATGGGAGCTTATAGCTTCTTAGCAGTAGGAAACAAATACATCTCTTTTGAGATTCTAAATTTCCACAAGGAAAGCAGGGAAAAAACAAACAAACAAAAAACCAAACAACACAAACTTAGGAATTCTGGAGTATAAAATTATGATTATTCTTACTGAGGTACCCCATAACTCATAGCAGCTACCTTCTAACTGTCACCCCATGATTCTTCTTACCTGTTACCATATGAAATAAGGAAGAGAACTGTAGAGCAGAGTTGTTGCATATGCACCTGGGTGTTTTGCTCCAAAGTCAATATTTATTTTCATTCTTCTGGAAAGTTGCAGAGTTTCCTTGTCTTTCCTGCTTCTATGCAAGTCACCAACCCCCCACACCACCATAAGGCTTTGGAAATAAGCTCAACATTATACCAGGCTGGTTTGTACGCTCGTACAGAATTTACATACATGTAAAAAAGTATGCTTACAGTGTCTTTTATGCAGAAGCAGGAAATAATTCAATGAGGCATCTTATATTTGTTTCAGAACACACAAAAAGCAGCTCAGGATTTCAAGAAAGAAAGATGAAAAATGGGTTTTGGATGTTAAACTATTCATGCTGTGTATGTAGGACAGTACTATTCAGAACAATATCAACTAAAAGCAGCATGTAATTCAGGCATTCATTCCAATTCCTTTTAAGGGCTAATTAGGCCTAATTCTAAGGTCTAAGTCTATTTATGACTGATGTACATGAACAACTTCATTGGAATCGCAAGTCAAGCACATGTTTAAGAACCCTGCTGAATTAAGTCCTGAATAAATAAGAGATTTCTTCACCTGCATCAGGGTATTGTGAATATGGTAGCTGGGAACTACTGGTACAATAGGCAATGTCCCAGAAAACAAGAGGCTTACAGGCCTTGGTTCAGCAGTGAAATTTTAAGTATTAAAACCAAAATGGCCATGTAGACTGAATGATTAGTACAGGTCAAGCTGCTACATAAAAGGTGATTGCATATTCCTGCTTCTACATGCAAGAATGTATATTCACATTTTCACTTTGAACTTTATCTGACACCCATTAGAAGCAATGCAATTAGTTTGTAGTTTGAAATATGTCATTAAGTATGATTATTACTCAAAGTTAGAGGGAGGAAAAAAAAGTAGGAATCAACTGTTTGCCAAAACTTCCACGTAGCGCAACAGGCTGGTGAAGGGTAATACTTTGCAACAGTTTTCTATCACACCCGAAAGGCTGCATCCTGCAGCAGCAGTGTGCCCGAGCAGCACTGCCACCTTCGGGTTAGCTGTACTTGGCAAGAATGCTGTATGCTTCAGCACTCCCAGACAGGGCAAACCATAGCTTCAAAAACAAGTCTCTTCAGTGACAGTTTAATTAAAATATTAGCAATAGCTATGCAAAACTATTCCTCCTTTTGTATCGCTCCCATACAACCAAGGCAAACTACATATTCATGTGCCATCAACTGTTTTCTTGCCTTTTTTACTTGCCACCACCACTCAGAAGTCATGGGTGATACCTGAACTTGTACTTTGGGAATCAACACTAGCTAAACACAGTAGGTTGTATAAAAAAACCTCTGCATAATACTCCTCAGAAACTAGCCTTCATCTCAGACCTTTAATATTTAAATTTGTCATCACGCTGGCTGCTGCCTTTAACTTCATGACTCCACAGTTAGATGAAGACAGGCAGTGTTCACTCTAAGATCTGCTCCAAGCCCAGTTCTGACAACTAACAGTTTATAAATTATACTATAGAAACAGTGTGGTATAATATTTGTGCTGCAAGTAGTTCTGTCCTTTTTCTTTTGTTGTTGTTTGATGGCTGTTGCAGTGACATTTCATTTGCTATTTTAACCTACAAAATGCCCAGCTAGCCATCAGGTGATCCTGAATCTTAAACCTGGGAGGGGGGTAGATGGATACCACCCAAAAAAACCCAAACCAACTAATGCTAACACCATTTTTTAACTTTAATTTTGATGTTCTAATTCTCCCCTCCAACAACTACCTCTCCACAGTACAACTGAACTACACAATCCCTCAAAATAGCTAAATATTTTTGCCTGCTTGAATGATAGTCTCTTTTCCTTAGAAGGTTAGCAAGATCATCTGTAGTGTGTTTTTGTAAATCTATGTAAGTATCTTTTTTCTTTTCCAGAAACCTGATATGAATGGCATTATAAAACCACCTTTTCTAAGGTATGTTTTTTAAAGGTTTTACACTAATATAATTGTGTTGATTTTTGTATCTGCTTATATTATTGTATTGATTGTAAAGGGAAATAAGGATATTTTTCCCAAATTACTCTGTGACCTTTCCCAGGCATTGGTAAATTATTATGGCTAAAAATTGTTGCAGTTTTATCAAGTGGCATATACATTGCATAGGCCCTTCTCAGAAAAATAAGTTTCTCCAGTGGTTTGACAGGGAACAGGACTTAAACTATGACTCTGAGGGTTAAAAACAACAATCTTTGAAGACTGGGAGCTGTTTAAAAAAATGTCCAGATCTAACTGGACATTAACTTCCCAAATTTTTAAAGTGAGTCTTGAGACATAAGCTTGTTTTAAAAACTCAAGTTAAACTTGAGTTGCAAAGAATCCTTTAGTCTAAAACCGTAACTTAGTCTTCAGACAACTTGAAGAACCTGCATGGCTTAAATTTGGTTTTGTATTGCAGCAAGCCTTGTAGTAACTTTGTGCATTTCTTTTCAGTGGAGAAAATCCTTTTGCAACTGTGAAACTCAGACCAACAATAACAAATGACAGATCAGCACCAATTATTCGATGAACATACAGTCCATACACATGTACTTCCTCCTTATAAACACCATTTTCAGTAATGACAATAACCATCTAAACTTGTTCCAAAAATTTATTTAAATGTAATTACTGTACAATAGAATCATACTGGAATGGATTTCTGATTTTTTTTTTTTTTAAGCCTATACTTTCTAATGAGGTAACTGCTTTGGGATAATGTTTGAGCACTTTGGCTTGATTTTACAGTATGCCTTTTTGTAGTAGGAATTGTGAAAATACTGGAGATAGTTTGGATATTCTAGTAAACCAGTGTAACAGCTCACAAATATGTATTTTTTTTGGCATTCGTTATTTGGAAACTGCAATGGTAAGTTCAGTTCTAGACTATAAGCCTGCATATGCCACTCACTAAGTAAGAAGATGATGATTTTTTTTTTTCCCCAAACAGAACAGTGTAACAACTGCCTTGTTCCAGAATAGAGAAATGCCTGTATAAAGTGATTATGTATTATCTTAAAGACACCCTAGGTTATAAATAAATATTTATCCTTTAAGAATAGACAAATTGTAATGCTTTGCTTAATGTTCAAATACAAATTTTCAAGTGCTAACGTAAACCTATTTTAAATGTAATGTTGTACTGTCAACACATGCTTCAATGATAACTTTAACACACATTGTCAAACTTTAGTCTTATAAAAGGTCATAATAAAACAGTGCCATGATTTTTTCTCATTCTAATATAAAAAGCTGCCTTTGAAGTTACTCCACTAAAGAAAAACTGATTAAGTTTGTAAAATTTTGGCTAAGGAGCAAATATTGGCGTGGTATCTGAGTTAGGTGAAATACAGCCTTTACCTTCAAGTCCTAAACTGTACAGATCAGCTTATCTCAGGCCCTGATTTTCTAAATCCAACAATGCTCACTTGTCTGAAAGACTTTTCCTACAATAATCATCATCTCAAATTAGCTTAGAATGTTAGCATCAGACTCTTGATTCTGCATCAGCACCGGGTGCTTTAGCACTGTGTGGTTCAGGTACATACGGCTGTATGAAGTCTGTATTGTGACTACTGCCAGTGATTAATCCTTATTCTAAATCATTTCATTTCACATATGTACATGCTTCCCACAGCATCCCATGGAGATTAATTTTGCTGTGCCTGCTTCTGCTACCATAAACAGTCAATGCATATCATGTGAACGGCCTTTCAGTTACTTAGTATCAAAAAATGGTATGTGAGCATGTGATGGCTGCAGGGATAGTATGCTCAGTCTGCCTCTTCCTCTCACCCTGCCATTCAAGTTCAAGGCTGAGGACACTTCATTTGCTATGGAACCTTGCATAAATACCCCTTATTCTATTTTGAAACACCAACTTTTCAGGAGTGTAACTTGTACCTAAGCCCATTTTCTAAAGCGTATTAGAGGCAAGTCAACCTAGACTGCATACTTTCAGTAATTCAGTATCAATTAATTAAGTAAAGATTTTTGCACTCCAGGTTATTTAAGGCTGCTCTGAGAGGGCAGTGTCACACTCTAAAGAAGAGCACCTTGTTACCATCATCTGTGAACTAACAGCAAGTCTAGCAGACAGAACCCTGCCACTGCAGCCCTGGGAGGTCACACATCCCTGTAAGCAAAACCATCACTAATTAAACTAGAGCTCTTGGTGGTTGTTATTACTAGTGCCTTCAGGAGACAGAGAAGGGCTGTTAGCGTAGTGGGTAGCACACACAGCACTTGCAACACTTCCCTCAAAAACAGCTGATGTCCACAAACAAGTACAGCCCTAAACCATGTGGGGTGTTTTTATCATAAAGATTCTGGCAAGTATTTATCCTTCTTTGTAGCTAGGATTACTAACTTCACTTTCAGAGTACATGTTATCAGCCATGTTAGTCACATACTTAATAATCTAGCCACAAGTTGAGGATTGCAAAAGGAAAAGCAGTTTTATTTAGTTTTCAACAGGTGCCACTGAACATGGAAAACAAGTTGGGTTTTCATGTTTTGCAATGCACATGCTCATAAAAGATTAAGTTTAAATTACATGCAAGAGACTAGATTTCTTCACACTTTACAAAACAGGTCTGAAGCAAATAAAATGATTGTACATGACATTTACATTAGAAAGAGTATGCTAACAGTTGTAGCTTCCATAAGCATGTCCACATTCGTCCCCTTAGCCAAAAGCTGCCCCACAATTAGGGCATCTTCTCTGCCTCAGTGCAAGACAGAACAGAATCCCAATTGGAAAGAATACAATGGCACATAAAACACCAAGACAGGTGAAGGTGTCTTCCAACACGCCAACCCTGTAAAAATGGAAAACAGACTTAGTCAAGGACAGCCACCACCTTTGCCCCAAAGTTTACACTTAGTGACTGCCAGATCACAAAAACCCACACCATTTTATATAGCAAGACAAACTACAGGGAGGTTTGGGTGGTTTTTTTTTTGGTTTTTTTTTGGGTTTTTTTTTTTTCTTTTAGAAGGTATTGTCATCACTTGCAGAAGGTTTTGAATTATACCATTTAAAAACAGGAAATCTGCAAGTGAGTAGACTGTTGATAAGAAGTCTAAAACACTTAATTCAAACTAGATCTTTAGTTCCAGAGAACAACCCTTTCTCTATCACTGCAATCCAAGGCTGGTGCTTAGAACAAAACAGCCACCACGCCTCTGTCTCAACTCTAAATATTGGTTAATGCAAGTACACCGAAGCACACACACAGCTGTATCACCTGCTCTACAGTGGGATTAAGTCACACACTCTCCTGATTCAGAAAGCTTTAACATGGAAGCCTGTGCCTCTGCCCCTCCAGTCCCCAAAGAACCTGCAAGTCAGCACTCTGCTCCTGTATTCTTGCATCCTAGCTCAACTAGCCTTGCCAAGTAACTACCCAGGAATAAAAGATCACACATTCACAACAAAGACTATAAGCAAGTATCAAACTTTATTCCCTGGTAGCCCTTCTTGGGGTCAAATTTTTCCATATAGGTGAGGATACAGTTTTCTAGAACTGAACCTTAGTGTCACAGAAGTTTACTGATTAAAAAAGCCTGCTTTTAAATTTGTTTACTGACTTTTCTGCAATGATACAGTGCTAAAGATTTAACTGTACTAGGGCTGTCATACTGCTTACTGCACACCAAACAACTCGATTTCTCAGCTTTTTAGGTCTTTTACAACAGGCAGCAGTCACACTTGTGTCATGTTTTGCTTACCTAGATTCCAGAATTATCCAGGGGTGAATGCTCTCAGTTCATTCAACCTCAAGTCTCCCACAGTATCTGTGCACTAGAGCTCTTTCAGAAAAAAATAATCCTTGTTTTCTGAATGTTTTGATCTGATGATCTGGTGCTTTTTCTCAGTTGCTTCTTATGAGAAAGGTTTGAATGGGCAGTTGTGTAATACTGGTTAAGGGCTTCTGGTGAAACATCCAGCTCATGCTTTCACTAAGCAAGTTAAAACCACTGCAGACAGCGAGATGCAAATAGGTTTGTTTCAGTATGCTACTTCAAATTAATACACAACTTGGCAGTGTCTGGTTCCTGCAGTTGCCAGCACATTCTCTCAGATGTGCTGGCACCTTTCTTCAGGGAGCACAAGTCAATGTAATTAACATGCAAAGGGCGAGGTACACTGGACAATCAGGGCTCTGACCAATTTAGCAGGATAAGGAGGACTTAAAGATATTCCAACTGTAGATTTACAGTGAAAGAATACTTCAAAACATCAGCACTTTGTTAAGGAAGGTACCAATTAAATAAGTATGTAGAGGACTATGCTAACTACTCAGACTTCCTAAGTCACCAGCACAGCTCAGAGGTGCAACACTACTGTCTTAAGCTGTTTAACAAGGTTATTTCTGGTAGCTAGAAGAATCCAAAGGGCAAACACCCATGACTGTTAAAATAACCCTCAGTAGGTGCTCCTGGTTTCTGTTTCCAAAGACTGATGTCCCTTTAGAGCTTCAGGAGAACCTACTATTGATGTCATTTGGCTCCAGCTGAGTCCCAACTGAATGACTACCCTACATAAGATATTCTGAGACAGCAGAAGTTTACTTGATTTGCAGTCCCTGACTTCTTTCTGAAGTGCTGTATCTAAACATCCCCCCAAATGAAGAACAACCATAAAGCCTGAGTATTCAGACTTAAGAAATTTGAGCAGCTGGAATGAATAGTCAAAATGTTGACTTTAGCAAAACACTTAAACAAGATGTGTCCTCTTAGATTCCCATGTACAGTGAAAGTCAACAGAAACAGAGCTAAGAGACCTTGAAATACATGCTGCAAGCAAGGTGCCAAGGCCAACAAGTTGTTTCCCTACAGAACACTCACAGACAACCTATTGGTACATGTAAACAGAACAAAGGAAGGAAGATGCAGATTCGGAGACCATTTCCTTACTGCAAGTGGCTAAAACATTACAACTTGATTTAATTTAAGAACCATTCCTCTTCCCCTCAGCCATCATAAGAAGCCAAAGGCTTTTCAAAGTGTTCCTGATATTCTGCTGCTTACGCAAATTCATGTTCAGCTTAAGCCTTCGACATCAGTCCCCTCCTTTTGATGAACTTTATTTCTGTTCAGAGTTCTTGTGATAGAAGTCAACTTTATATTTGGTATAAAGGTATTGCCAGGGTACAGCTGATTCCAGCAGTAGTATACTTTCGTATCCTCGAATAACACTCCTTTAAGGCAGCAAGTTAAAAGGTGTAGACTAATGATCCAATCACCATACAGATTCTGGTCTCGGCACACAAGTGTTCCAAAGCTCAGCCTTTTGTAGCCTGCACTGTTCATTGTGGCTACTCCTGCAAGCTCAGCATAACATCACCCCTGTAAACAGCCCTGTAAGTCAGGAATGCACACTACCAGAGCTCTGTCTATCAATGCAAGCACTTTATTTTGCCACAACAATGTAAGATTACCCTTGAACGCTGACATCTGTGTGTCAAGAGAGATACGAACAATGAATGATCAGCTCTGCAGAAGTGTTCTGCTTTTATGACAAACTCTCCAGGACTTCAGATCCTACTATTTTTCGCAGAGCTAGAACACATTTTATAGAGTTAGTTTCAATAGTGTAGGCACCACCTTGTTCCCCCCACACTCCAAAGCACTTCAGGAAAGCTTCCTCAAACATGGAAAAAGTTTCACCTCTCTCTCTAGTACCTTTTAGCTCCTGTTCCCATACCTATCACCCAACCACAAATCCACATATCAAGTGGCCTACAATAAAACTTTTAAAACTAACCATGGTACTGCCCAAATTCATAAACCCACCTTTTAGCAGGATGGAATTGCCATGTTCAGCACATGTTGTAAAGGACAATGGTTCTGGCATGTCACCCACGGATAGTATAATATCTGGAAATATTTAATACTGGAAGTACTAAAACCCCTAATATTTACTGAGTGCTTTTTTCAATAGTTGTGATATCAGTAGCATCTTGCTCTCTAGCTGAAGCAAAAGCAATGTCTAAGGAATCAAGCATAAGGTAATGGTGGGACTTTTTTCTGCATAAATAGATTTCTTCACACC